TTTTCCAAACGTGGAGGTGAAAACCGCAGGACCTGGATAAAAATCCACGCGACCACGGTGAGAGTGATATGCAAACTCCAAATATCCAGGCGTCAGGGTCGGAGTTGGATCCACGACCTGCTGCATACCAGGCGAGGTAGTTAACATCTCGACATCGTGGTGCCCCCCGAGGTCCCAATGGCCAAAAGGAGAGAATTCCAGACCACTTTTCTGCAACCTCAGCATTGATTACTGCACACTGAGCCCAGCTCTGTACCGTGTTGTTGTGGGTCACCATGCTGATGGTTCTCTGTGCTGTGGGCCCTCCCTGGGCGAACGTGTGTTGAGGTGTCTGGTTTGCTGGCGCGTGACTCGCGGCGTCAAATCGCCCTTTGACTGCCGCTGGCTCTGGCCAATCGACAAACAGCGCGAGCGCCGTGCTGGTGGCAGGATGTTTGTGCCTTGTTCAGAATGGAGCCAGAGCGGTGCTCGTCATCTTGACATGCAAATCACGCTGGGACGTCCGGCTGCCGTCTGTATATATATATTTTTAAGAGAATTGTGTCGATCATAGCACAGTATGGCGGTAATCGCTGCAATCCACACGGCATCTACTGCCGCCTTGGATTGGTTGAAGGACCTTAACATTCAATCCTGACGTTATCTATACAAACTGTTGCTTGCATGCCACACGAAAGAAGAAGAATTGTATAAGATGTCTCTCCAATTCGTAATCGTATACAAGGGTAACAAATAATTCGCTGGTGAACTTGGGAATAAATGCATGGCCTCTTGAGTGTCGTGCATCACATTTTAAAAGCAATCTATTTTACACGGTTTATAGTTTGTATTCTGTCCCCAGTCACTGTGATTAAGCGCTAAAATCCCTCTTATTGAGAGACGCAGCACTCTAGGCTTCCCCCGCCATGTGAAGCGAACTGCGCTGTGCGAAACACATCGGCGTTGGAGCAAATACACGATCCCCGTACCGTATTAGCATTCGACGGAACGCAATTGCACCCTCGATGACTAACCCACGGGATGACAAAAGAAGCGACGACTTTACGGCGAGAGAGAGCGTTGTGACCAAGTCGGGTGGCATGCAGCCCAATCGCATCGGATATCCTCAGAAGCTATGCAGAATGGAAATAATAAAATAATAAAAATAAAACAATCAAATAATTCTCACGACGTTTCGGCCACAACGCAAGCAGCCGTCCTCAGGTGGAGAACAGGTCTGTCGAGAAGAGAGTCTGACTCTGTCTTCTCGACAGACCTGTTCTTCTCGACAGACCTGTTCTCCACCTGAGGACGGTTGCTTGCGTTGTGGCCGAAACGTCGTGAGAATTATTTTATTATTTTATTATTTCCATTCTACGTGACTTTACCGAAAGAACCAAGAAGATGAATCCCTGCAGTCACGAAAGCTATGCAGGGTTGAGTCTCTGGATAAGTACTCGGATGGGGTGGCCACCACCGTACATGCGCAGAAGCTCGGGTGCAAGTCGGTGTTGTGGGCAGCCGGTGGGGGGGGGGGGGGGGGGGAAGTGCAGCAAACTCGATGTGTTGTCATTCTGTGCTCTCCTATCACCATCGGCAAACCGCACTGAACGAGCGTGGTGAAGTATGTTCAGGTCAACCCGTACTGTTGTGGACCGTATGGTTGCCACGTGTCCCCCGGGTTTCGACGCGGTATGCCTGGGAGCTGACCTCTGTGTTGGGGTCGCAGCACGGATTGCTTTGTACCGAGTGATCTGGTAACCCGGCACGCTGTTGTGTTCAACTCTGTTACCGTAGACTGCATGGATTTGTTAGACCCGTTGCTGACTGAGAAATGTCGGGGTCTGGTCTGTGGAGAAAAAAGTGGGGAGGCCCTCTCATCCAGCAGTGGACAAACAATCCGGCTTGTACACGTGTACGTGTGTGTTAGCGCGGTGCTCGCTAACAGCACTTGCCCCAACAGTCTGTTAAGGCTACACGGGGGATATTTGTCTGTGTGCCCAAGGGTGTGTGTGCGTGTAGGTTTGTGTGTTGGTATGTCTGAGTACGCGTGTGTGTGTGTGTGTGGGGAGCGGTGCTCGCTTAACGGCACTTGCCCCATCAGTCTGAGGCTATACGGGGGATCTTTGTCTTTGTTAGAGCGCTGGCCTACGACCCGAGTTCGAATCCCACTCACGGCCTCCACGAGCAACGATTATCTGAACCTGTCCGGGGCCTCCCCTAGGTTGACTCGGCCTAAACGAGTACCTGGTGCAGTGTGTAAGCATCACCACCTAAAAAGACAAAGGCGGCCGGGCGTGGTGCTGACCACCTACCCACCCCCTCGTGTACCATTCCGGCCTTCATAGGTTGCTACTCGCTAACAGCAATTTCCCCAACGGTCGGGGGGTGGGATCTTTGTCTTTATCACAACTTTATCTTGAAATTCTTTAATATTTCCAACACGGTCAATTGCTGTGGTTTTTTCCCCTCCCGCGCCCAGTGTTTGAGCGCAATGCCCGGTGGGTGAGCCAGAGGGCATTGTCCTGGGAGCCAGAGTGGCCCTTTGCTTGAAATTCTTTAATATTTCCAACACGGTCAATTGCTGTGGTTTTTTTCCCCCTCCCGCGCCCAGTGTTTGAGCGCGATGCCTGGTGGGTGAGCCGGAGGGCATTGTCCGAGGAGCCAGAGTGGCTCTTTGCTGCGGGTGTGGTTTCGCTCTGGTAGTTATTTTCGCTCTGGTAGTAATTAAGCCTCGGCACGCGGCTATCCACCTTGAGGGCTCGCGCAACATCCCTGGCATCTTCGCCAGAGGTCTGGTCCCGGAGCCGTTCAGAGTGGTGGTCGTTCATGTTTTCATGGCTGTCTTAAAGAATTGTACCAAGGCCGTCATTATAATATATATTGGGGGGACACATCCCCACACCCCCCCCCCCCAATATTCAAATATGCTCAAAATGCCCACCCCCCCCCCCCCCCAATATATTGCTATAAAATAGATTTCTGTTTATATGATTGTGGTTATGGTTGTACTTGATTAATCCCTAATCTCTGCCATAACATCCAATGAAACAAGAAAAGGAAAAAAGAAAAAACAGAGCAATGTAATGCAATACACTATTATACATTATTGTCAAAAATAAATAAAAAGCCTATCCTATGTGTTAGTGAAATTTTTTTATATTTTAGGCAGGAAATTCGTTTTCAAATTTAGATTTTTTTCTGGGGGGGGGGGGACCCCAGACCCCGTGAAAGATTTGCCACCCCCCCAATGTTGACTCCATGGCTATGGCCTTGAATTGTACGCATTTCGCCTGTATCAGACGGAGTGCCGTGGTTGTGAAATGTTAACTTCCTCGCCTGGTGTGCAGGAGGTCGTGGTTTCCATCCCGACCCTGACGCCTGCTGCTCTATATTTGGAGTTTGCGTGTTTCTCCCCGTGGTGGCGTGGATTTTTCTCCGGGAATTCTCCAGTTTTCCTTCCAAATTTTAAATCAACACGCGTTTTGGAGTATTTGGCTGCTATACATTTCCACGTGATAAGCCACTTCATTTGGGCTTTCATTTGTGGCCAGGTCGCTTCTAAAAAAGAGCTAAAAAGTTCAATGGGCTTTACGTGGTATATATATTAAAAAATAAGTTTGTTTTAGTTTTAAAAATGTTGCCTGCGTCCCTGTGTGAGTTTGCCCCTGCGAGTTTGTGAGTCTTTGTGCTACGTAATCTGAAACCACGTTTATCTTTTATCTTCGACACGTGCAGCCCGAATGTGTCCTCGATTCACTGGCGAGATGAGGGCCTTCCGTGACGCCGTGTGGATAGTGTGGGTTGTTTTGACCATACTTCACCATGCTGGTCAGTGAAGGCAGGGGAATGTAGCTGTTGGACCACAATACAGTACAGTACACCGACTTTATTTTTAGTGCATCGCCCTCTGCTGATAACGTATATCCACAGCAGCCTCAATTATTGTCGAGTCGCCTATCCAGGCACTGCGCAGTCTCAACATTGAATCGTTTCCAAGATTTGGCGAGATCGGGAGCATTCCATGTGATGTTTGTCATATATGATTTCATCTTGTCGAGTAGTTTAAGTGTAGCCATTGTTGCGGGTAGTTACTCCGCGTGTGTGGGGAGCGGTGGCGCAGCGGTTAGCGCGCTGCGCTACGAACCCGGCGATCAAAGTTCGATTCCCGCTCATGGCCAACACCGGTGACGGTCATCTGAACTGGTCCTGGACCTCCTCGCTTAGGTTGACTCAGCCTCAAATGAGTACCTGGTGCGGTGTGTAAGCCTTGCCACTGGGGAGACAAAGGCGGCCGGGCGTGGTGCTGGCCACCCCCACCCCCTCGTGTGCCGTGTAGGTGCTCGCAAACTGGGAGGGATCTTTGTTTTTGTGTGGCTGAGGGCCTGTGGCCAATTCGTATTGATCCTCATGCTTATGAAATTGCTTTCCATTGATGTAAGTTCGGTCAAGAGTTGGTACTACGGTGCATACGGCGTTTAAATCGCATCCATTTGTGGCGTTTCACCGAATCAACAATGTTGGTGGCAGCAAGGGGAGGGCACCTCGACCATCTCCTAATTCCGGCTCAAACATCCGAGTTGCGGTGTTGCGAGGTGATACTTATTTAGAACTGCAACGTTGAGCTAATGCTGGTTGAGGTTTCGCCAACTTATTACGTTTGCTTGGCCGCGGGGCTGCGCGTTGAGCACCATTTTCCGAGCGTTTGCACTTTACGCACTAATTGTACAATGTTGAAGAATGTCAAGAACCACTCTGGTCTGTTGAGAACCCGCCGTGCGCTCTGCTGACAATGCCTCGCTACGATCACGACTCTTGCGAGGCGGTCACAGCAGGTGCCAAGAGCACAAACAACAACCAACTCAACACAATTCGTCCACAACACTGCCGCCAAAGTAACAAAAAAGACATGAAAAAACTTGTCTAGGCGACGTTTCGGGCAAACGACCTCTTTTTTTAATTACAACGCGGCGCGTGTAGCGATGCACCCACCGCGAGTGGGTTGATGCGCGCACACTCACCCCGATGGTGCGAACCTTCGGGTTAAAAATGCGACTCCGTCTCTCCAACTCGAGCTGACGTCTCCTGGCAATGGCTGCAGCCTCCCTCTGCTCCAGCTGAAACATCTTTTTTGTTTGACCTCTGTGCTAGCGGACACGGGGAGCGAGCGTGGTGGGAGTGGGGGGAAAGGAAGCGATAAGGAAGGCAGAAGAAATTTTTAAAAGAGGAGCGAAGAGGCTGTTAACTAGATGAGAGGGAGCTACGGAAGGTCGTTCCGCTGTGAGTGCCACTGTCGTGTAAACAAAAGCGGTTGCTATGGACTCATTCATTCATGAACGCGTCGCCTTAACCACTCCCACACGCAACCACTCCTCTTCCCAGCCTCGATGATACAATGTGCAACAAAACATTTATTTTTTTCTTGGTAGTAAGTGGTATTTCCTAATTGCTTATGCTTCAAAAGTAAAAAAATTGGCTTATTCCCCATAAACTTGGCTTTTGTGTCCAGGCAAGTGATGTTTTTAAATGTACATATTTTCAATGAGAAAACGTGGTGTGCATGTGTCAATCCTTCACGTAAAGTCCTGGTCACAAAAGCAAAGTATGTGGGGAATAATAGACATTTTCTATACTTTTTAGGCATAAGCAATAAAAAAAATAACACTTAGTACCCAGGAACAAAAATTGTGTTACAAAGTGAATTTTCATCGCCGCCGCCGCTGCTGCTGCTGCAGTGATGAATGATGGGAGGAGTGACGTGAAAGATGAATCTGGATTTGGCTGTGTCGGGTGGCGGAGGGAGGTATGGTTGGAATTTGAATTTTAAAAAAGAACCGAATTTATGGGTCTGCCGTTCGTTTATGACCACGATTAACAGAGAGTGCAGCTTAGCCGTGGAGGACCCTCACGATGTAATTGCACTAATAATTATGACAGTCCATGTTGTTTGATCGGATGTGGCCGAAACATCGAGTGTTTAAACAGAAACACTGTACACTTTTCGGCCAGGTGGCTCGCAGTTGCAGGTTGTAATTTCAAATCCCTGCTTTTAGGGGGGATATAAAAAAAACAATCACAAAACATTGACAGCGTGCACCAAAAATCCACATGCATCGGTCTTCAAACTCCGTGTGACAGGTGGGCGTGCTCAGCAGGTGAGTGGGCGGTGCCCGTGAATTTGTGGGCGGGGCCTGCATCGGAGAAGGCGGGGCCTCTGGCTGCATGCGAGGGGCTCGTGGCCGAGTGGGCGTTGATGTCGTAAAGTGGGTGGTATGGCTTGCCATGTAAACTTTTACAGGTAGGAACAATATGTTCCACACTGCTCACCAGGGATTATTTGTCTGTCTGTTTGTCGTGCATAAATAAATATATAATATAAACAGCTCTTTGATTGGTGGAGACCTGACCTACTGCCGGGTACGGAGAGGGGAGGTGCCTAAGGAAGGAGGGTCAGGGGAGGGGCCTAAGGGAGGGGGGGTCAGGGGAGGTGCCTAAGCAAGGGGGAGGGGCGATAGTTAAAGGGACTGGCTACCTGGCTGGCTGCCTGGCTACCCCAAGTCAAGTTATCTTGTATACAGGTAGGAACAACAGGTTCCACACTGCCCACCAGGGATTATTTGTCTGTCTGTCGTGCATATTTGTCTGTCGTGCACGAATGCGCTGTCCAGCCAAGTTCCTACCTGCCCACTCCGAAGGAACGTGTTACACCAATTCAATCTTGATTTTAAACCATTGTTTTATTTTGCCAGGCAAGGGCCCCACTGAGCTACGTGGCTCTTTTTCAAAAGCGAGCTGGCTCTATAGCAAACAATAGCTCAACGAAGTTGGATCATCACCACGTGGTGATGTATCGAAGCCAAGCGCATGTTTCTAAATGTGGAGGGGGAAAAACCGGAGGACTCGGATAAAAATCCACGCGGCCACGGGGAGAGAGAGACACGCAAACTGCAAATATACAGCAGCAGGCGTCAGGGTCGGGATCGAACCTCCCCAATGAAGTGGCTTATCACGTGGAATGTATAGCAGCCAAATACTACAAAACGCGTGTTTTTAAATGTGGAAGGAAAACCGGAGAAATCCCGGAGAAAAATCCACGCCACCATGGGGAGAGACACTGAAACTCCAAATATAGAGCAGCAGGCGTCAGGGTCGGGATGGAAACCACGACCTCCTGCATACCAGGCGAGGTAGTTAACATCTCCTAGCCACCGTGGCGCCCCTGTGTGCATCTCCCCCCATCTGTGCAGCTTCAGCCTCCCAGCATTGTGGTCGAACTTCGCAATGCGTAAGATGCGATGAGCTCAAAATTGACCTTTGAGGCTTTCAGGTCACTCATGAAACGCGGTTGCGTCGAGTTTTTTTTTCATCCGGATCCCCTCCGAGTTTTCCCCTCCACATTTAGAAACATGCGTTTTAGAGTATTTTGCTGCGACTATACATTTCCACACGATAAGCCACTTCGTTGAGCTATCAATGTGACCAGGTCGCTTCTAAAAAAAGAGCTATACAGCTCGGTGGGCCTTACCTGGTTAAATGCAAAGTCATAATTTGTCGTTAAAATCTTGTCCATCATATAAACTGGTACCCGGCCTGTAATATTCGTAATGTCATGCATTCAATGAATACACGTACTTGGCATATACACACACACACGTGCTTGCATTCAAGTTGGGGGGGGGGGGGGCGGCGACTCCGGGAGGTAAATATTGGCAGTGTGACCAAGCCACCCCCGGATGAAGGGCCTTCCCAAACTGTTGCCAATCCATCAGGATCCTCATCATCACGTGCATGACCCTCGGGGCGTAGCAGTGCCCACGAGTCGCCACCACCAGGCAAACCTATCCCGCGCAAGCCGAGCACACTGAATGTAAGCCAAGCCAAGGCCGTGGTGTCGAAGGCTGGCTTTGATCGTGAGTGTCCAAGCCAGGCCGTGGTTCGCCACCGGTGGGCCGTCGACGATCGCGCGGAAGGGTCCCCTGGCGTGATCTGTTGTCGATGCGTCTGCCCGGGCAGCGTGTCCGAAGAGCCTTCTGTCTCCGCCCCGTTTCATGCACTGCCAGGCATGTGATTAGAATCCTGTGATGTAATAATCCTTACCTTGGAGCTGCACGCCAGCTGATTTAATCGCTCCGTCTCCTCGGTGGCCGGTGGTGCTCTCCGACACGATACGCTCATCGCAAGTTTGACCGCGGAGGAAATGTAAGTTCAAAGTCTTATTCTCCAAAGAGTCTTTATTCGTCTTGTAGCTGGGGCATGACGTCTTGTTTTAAAAGAAACGTTCGAAAGAAATATTTGAAAGTTTGATTATATGAAGTTAATAAAAAAAAGAGATTCCGGGTGCCAAATGCATTCCATTGGGTCGGTATAGATGTAGCTCTGTTTAACACGTAGTCGGATTTCACGACTAATGTTATCCAAGAGGTTTTGGGGTTAGAACGCGTAAATATAAATGTGTCGTTAAACCCAAAAAACCCGCACGGTGTGCATAACGTGCATGCATAATGTATGTCGATTATCCTATATTTAACCCAACCGGTAATGGATATCAAGAGTAATTTATCTCCCCCTTTTCCTCTGGCCTTCGCAGCTGATTGGATCACAAGTAACGACATCGCACTAATCCCTCGAGTTAAGACCGAAGCAGGGGGAGGATGTTTCCACAACTCTGGCGGTCTGCCTGAGGATGCTAGTTGTAATTATAGACGAAACGTCGTACTCGAATTGTACATTTTGTGGGGTTTTACTCTCCATCACACCGGTGTGCTGAACTAGTAACGAATTTGAATATTTTGTTTACGTGACAAACCTTATGAATTGGCTGTGTCGGGTTGGTGGCGTGTTTAACGACACGTTTACGTGATCTCACCAAAAAACCTTTTATAGATATACCTCTGTCAACTATAAATAGAGTGCGACATTTTTCAACAGCAGTGCTACAACTCTTATAACACTGAATTACAGTCGACTGCACTTCACAATAACAGGTTACATGATATCAAGCGACGATGGTGGTGGCACACGGAACAAAACGTGACTGGGCAGGCTTATTGCATGAATACATTAAGGTAACAGAAACACTCCAAGTATGTCCGCATTACGCACAATGCAGTCGAATATGCGGCGTTGATCAAATGGGCAGAGAATGTGATGGCACAAATTCTATAGGGGGTGGAACGATTCACTTCATTGGCAATTCATACATCGTCACGATTCATAAAACCATATACGATAAAAAAAATTAACCGTAAATGTCTCACGCGAAATTCACGCATGTATTGTGAGGATCGGTGCACTCCTATTGTTCGCACTCTGCAAACACAACACTTACAAGACATTCAGACAATGCCTTGGGGTTCAGCGATGACACAGGTCTACTCTGTAAATGTCTTGAACGTAATAATACTTTGGCTGTTGCCTCTCGGGGCTGGACAATACCCCGAGGTTATCTCCATGGACAGACAAACGTGACGCTTCAAATGAAATTTACAAGTAAACGAGACGGCAATGGGCAAGGGGTGATGTCTTGCATGGATGGTCTGAGTTTGCAAATCTGTGAGCTACCAAACAGACGACTGACTGTATCCTCGCATAACATAAGGTTGAGTGTCTGCTAAAGCCCGACGTGTTAATGTATTCCGCAAAGGGCAGTTTCCAAGCAAGTAAATGCTACAATTTAACACGTAGGCTTTCGCGACCAATATTATTCATAATCAACATTTTTGGGTTTAGATCGCGTTATTTATAAATGTGTCGTAACCCTCCACCACCCGACACGGCCAATCAGTAAAAAAAGTGTCACGTTGACAAAAGACAATTAGTTCACTGCTTTAGCCCACCGGTGTGTTGAAGCGTGAAACCACAACATTTAGAATTTGAGTGCGACGTTTCGCTGGTAATTGCATCCAGCATCATCGGGCAATTCGCCAGAATGGTGGAGTGTTACGACACATTTATAAATAACGCGATCTAAACCCAAAAACGTTGATTATAAATGCTACAAGTTGAACAAAATGAATGACCGAACTTATTGTTTATGAACTAAAACGTCGGGTGCCTTTGGTGGCTCAGAGGTGAGAAAGCTGGGCTGCCACAGCCGGCATCATGGCTTCCAAATTGAGGCAGCAGCTGATCATGAAAAAAAATCCATCGGTTTGACTGTCGTACGACAAATAATCTCATGGCGAAGCGTGTGGACAAGTGCGGCCCTCACTGCGTCATGGATTAAAAGTCCACTTGAAGGAATTTCAGACGTCTACTGTCACACACTGCTTTGCAAGATTTCCAAGTGGATTTTTAGTCTCAACATGACGGAGCCCAATTGTTGTGAAATATGGGGGATGTAGAGAATGAATAATAATAATAAACAATAACGAGTAACAGTCAATTGCGCCTTGCACGAGTGCCTGCCACACTGCAAGTTGAAAACACCCTCTGTCAAAGGGTATTTATCTTCAACCATGCTGGTCAGATGGGTTACAAGAACAAAAAAACCCAGATTATAATCAATGAAAAACCTCGGTCCAAAGTTGTGACAGCGAAGTGCAGTTGCACACAATGTACTATTTCCACTGCAAGACATTGGGGGCATTGCGTGGGAACATCTGCTTGTGAATGCTTAATGCTAGCTCCGTGTAGTTCCACAGGAAAGTACACTTCCACGCCTTTTCGTTACACACTTCTAGAAGCTGCACGTCATGCCACCATGGGGGTGAGTTTTTTCTTCTTGTCTCAGTTAAACTCCGCAGCGCATAGGCAGAGCAGAGTAAAAGTGCAGCGCTGCAATGTCTCGCTTCCACCACTGCTGGCGAAATGATCTCTCCACTGCTGAAGGAGCTCTAAAGAACATCGTCTAAAAGGAATCTTGGCCTCCAGATGTCGTTAAAGAGGCGGGAGTGCCCACACTTTACCCCACCGCACACCGATTGTACATCGAACAGGGAGGGGTGTTTCCACCTCTGCACTGCTGGGCGAACAAGAGACGGACGTAGGGATTTAAGAAACCTACCGCTCCGTTGTGTCAACTGGCGGGGCCCGAAGGTCGAACCAACGAGCCTCTGGATTGCAAGTGCGGTGTGTACATGGTGCTGAGCATTCATGAGACTCGGGCCAGCGTCTCACCGTTTAGGGTAGAGAGCTTCATTTCGTGTTCCCGGTATTAAGCGATTCACGTGAGCACGATCGTGTCAATGTCCCAGCAAACTGAACGTGGGCTTGCCAGGGCACCCATTAAAACTCCCTGGTCAACAACACACTGGAGATAGAGAGGTATCTTCTTGGTTCTTTCGGTAAAGTCACGTAGAACGGAAATAATAAAATTAAAACATAAAATAATTCTCACGACGTTTCGGCCACAACGCAATGCCGATGGTTGAGTGAGTCATTCAGACTGTACTACTCGACAGACCTGTTCTCCACCTGAGGACGGCTGCTTGCGTTGTGGCCGAAACGTCGTGAGAATTATTTTGTTTTATTTTTATTATTTCCATTCTACGTGACTTTACCGAAAGAACCAAGAAGATGAATCCCTGCAGTCACGAAAGCTTTAAATCGAAAGAGAGGTAGTTTATCCCACCCACTGAAAGCCTGAGACATCTCTCCTGCACGTGTAAATCTCAAAGACGCTCCTTCCTAAGCGACTGCATTTTGTTTTCTTATTTTCGCTGCAGGAATGCCCTTCGCGAGGTTCGAGGATGCGGTATTATTCACGAAGCTCGCCAGAGCGCGCACGCGAGTAGGGGGTGGTGGGTGGTGGTGGTGTGAGACGAATTGGCGCTTTGCTTGTGTTGATGCACCACCGCTCGTGGAGAACAAATCGCGACGCGGCGAGACTTACGATCTCGCCCGGCCGCATACGGAGGTGTGCAGCGGCCAACACGAACACTGCCGATGTGAGTGGTCGCAGTGCGGGTGGTCAAGGCTTCGGCTGGGCTGACGTGACCGGTGAGAAAAGAGATACTTTGTCTACTGCGCCAAATAATATATTTATACCCGCCTGGGATACGATGGCCCTGGGGCTTTTGATGAATACGTCCTGTGCAAGCGGTGGCAAGGAAACGTTCGTTGCACAAATGATTAAAACGCGTAATGAAAGGCACGCACGCAAAGCCATCCCAGCGAGAAGCCCCTTGCCTCTGGAGTGTAATGATCATTCCAGACTGAAACTTGTTACAAGCCGCAGCGAATTTCGTGGAACGATGAGGGGGGTAAACAATGTGTCAGTTGTTAATGGGATGTAGCGAAGGAAGCGTTGAGGATGTTTATCCGCAGGAGAAAGGGGGAGGCTGCTATAGGTGGGGCGCGTGTGCAACGTGGAAGAGGGCCGGTTGCCGGCAGGAGCTTTTAGGAGTTTCGTCTAGAAGGTCCGTGACCAAATGGAACGCCTAAAGCCAGATGGTGGGAAGATCCTTCTCAGTGGTCCTTGAAGGCCGTAGCCGACTTGACGTGGGATCTAGCGGAGGGAAGCGATGGCTAGAGGTGCCATCAAGCACTGGCCATGAATACAGATTGATCGTAATAAGTTCATGGTAAGCATTGATTTGCATTGTCTTTTAAAGAAAATCAGTCTTTAGATATGAATATCATGCAAAGCAAAACTAGATCATTGCTGCCGATGGTTGCAGTGGTATAAACGACGCTCACAAAATGAAGAGTTGGTCGACATTCAACACGCATTCAGCTGGTTACAAATCACACAAAAAACCCGAGATTGTTGATATGTGACTGTGGAGCACTGTTTTGCAAAGGCAGTTTTGAGTTTTTTTTGTTACAAAATACATTTAACACAGGATGGCCGACAAGATGGCAGAACGTGTTGCATCCATTCCTCTGTTTATTGTGGGGGTTTTGTTAACCCCCATTTTATTTTATCACGAATATCACCCACGAGCTAATTCTCTTGCCCACGTGTAGATGTCACATTGGGTCGCCTTCCAGCGGGCTGCTTCGTTCGTACGGGTCACAGCCATGTCTCGACGTTCACATCGAGGTTGGCGAGCGAGGCCCCTGGACCCCTTCAGGGATGATGAGCCTCGTGGTGAATACTGAACCTGAAGCGCTGCCGGCGAATGATGATGATGACGATGAAAGTGAGCAGCGAGTGTGACTGTGCGGTCCGTGGTTTAAACATTTCATGGTGACCGCAGTCGTATGGAAGAGGTGATGGAGACTGCATCTGCTGCGTGACGCTCCTAATTAGCTGCACCTGATCAATGCAGCTGGCTGTATATGAACCCGTCAATGATTATTATTGATAAGCGTAAATAACTGACGAGTTGATTTTTGGAAGTAAAACCAACATGCAGTGCCTGTACGATCCACCAGAGAGCAACATCATCACTCCCCCCCCCCCCCCGTACACTTTGGATTGCAACTCACAAGTCGGGACTCTTTTTCGCATCCGACCCTGAACAACGGAGCAGCCGTTTCTTCATTTAAACATGCAAAAAAAATATCCCTTGCGCTACTCTCTCATTCAAAGTGTGTACTGCAGAGGCTGTCGTCATTTCCCGACAAGAGTGCATCGTGAAACATGCGCACGCGGTCGCTTCGTTCAATGCCGTCGGGGTTTCTCGAAGAGTCACGTGGCGGGGTGGTGGGGGGGTTGTGGTTTCGGGCAGATGTGTTTCCTCTTTGTTGTGTGGCCCAGGGAATATTCGGCCACAATGTACGCAGAACGCCGAGTAAGTCGGTGTCCCTTACCGCGGAGCAAACGCAACGGGAGCGCGATTCAAGAGCCGAATCGCTCACAGGGCTAAACCTAATAAATTAACTTGAACTCTCTCATTACCCACGTGGCAATTCTAGTCGTCGTTCTCGTGGCAACACGGTGGGCGGCAAACTTTTATTTTTATGACCAAAGAAAATCTCGTGCACGATAGAGGCGTTTTAAAAAAAGATGTAGGGCTGTTTTTGTTCTCGTAATTCCAGTGGAACCGATGTCCTCTCAGTAAATAACGAGCGATACATGTTTCAGCAGGGCAAATCGCTGCAAGCAATTCCAGGTTGTTGTGCTCGTGTTTTACTGGAAGCAATGGTGAAGAAAAAGTGTCATCACTCCCCAGGTGCCGCACAAACAAACCCAGGTGTCGCTGTCCGATCCGCGCGCAGGAGGCGTTCCGCCAGGCCACGTTTTTTTTTAATGAGCACAAGCGAGAGTCCCCTTGTGTGCGTAAATTTACACAATTGACACTTCGAAGGGGACAATGGCCACTAAACGCCTCCGATTTAGCACCGGTTGGCCACGTACGGTGTGAAAGAAGGTTCAACATACTACTTTTGAGCACTCATGCAATTGTTAAAACAGTGCGGATTTCTCCTCGACACACCGGTGGTGCTGAAGCGGTCATAAATTAGCACGTTCGTTCGCGTAACAAAAACATTAATCGTTTGCTTATTTATTCAGGAAAGCCACAATGACTTTTTCAGGAAGGGTTCTGCATTGGGGGTTCTTATTTTTAAGACGTTTTCAGGCAATAATTGAGTGGTTTATACAAGGGGGCGAAAACCAGAGCATCTGGAGAAAACCCACCACGGTCGCATGCGGGCCAACACTCCGTCCCCGTACAGATGGAAACAGATGGAGAGTAATCAACTTGCTGCACTGCCATCTCCTGGCGAGCCAGGGCGTGGCACCTCGACGCCCACGGGGGAGTTTTACAACGTCGATCCGCCAACCCTCGCTGTGTCTCCACAGTGCTGGATGACAGGCCACGTGTTTAGCCACCACTGCCCAGCGCGACGCTTTATTAATTGGTGGAAAAGGGTGCACGACACACATTTTATTCACGCGATCAGATCCCCAAATCAATAACGGATTGTGAACGAGTGTTTAAACAAACAAAAAAATCCCCACCAAGTTGCGTACAGCTCCCACCTGGAATCACATCACCTTGGCACGCGTACGTGAGCGCGTGGCGTGTGTGTGTGCGAAAGTTGGTGTCAGTATTACCGGTCTGCCGTGCTAAGCTAATAAATCGCTCTATCTGTCGGCACCCGGAGCCCACGGTCGCACAGTTTAACGCTGCCTGCGACGGTTACCCCGTTAGTAATTGAACCACGAGCACGGTGACCACGACTTCTCGTCATCAGCCGGCTTGTGCTGGCCATGACCGCGCCGTTGAGCATTCCCGTTCCGTTTGATCCGTCCGCCGCGCTTCGATAGCGACATCTCGAGGCCTGCGCTTGGCAGGCTGTGATAGGTGGCAACAATCACTCGCCCGTCACCACCGCTAGCCTCTCGTTACCTTACGATTGTTATCAACTACAAATGAAAAGTTCTGTTTTTTTTTTTTCATGGCAATTCGTCTTGATGCAATAGTGAGAGCTGGTTACAATTGCCCTTGTGCATGCCACGTATTGCCCAAAATTCACGATTCTCAATCCCCTGATGAATTCGGTTAGGTGCATGGCCATAGTAGCGATCCATGCTCAATAACCGTCGCATAACTCCTTCCACTGACAGTAATGGTATAAATATTTCAATAGGTATTAGCTCAACTGCCACAAAAGCAAGAGTGATGTACTATATATATGAACGAAACTCAAAACTACCTCAATGCCACATAATTGTGCCTTAGTGTTTAGTATAAAAAAAGTTCCTACAATGAAATGTCAATTACCACCAATTCTTGCAGAATGCATCAAAATCCAAGTGTGGTTTCCACATCATTAATGAATAATACTATTTAAAAAATAACCTCCTACATAAGTAACGTGAAGCTACACCGAACGCACATAACCTCAACAATCTACGACAGGTGATCCCCGGCTTGTTCTAGTTTTTTTTCATACTTTATAATGCCGGCGGTCAATCCAAACGTACGTATCGATACAAAAAAAAAATCTAAACACATCCGGTCGTAGTAAAATACTATCTCATCGTCACAACGCAAAGAGATTTCTCAGCGCGGACGTGAGCAGACGTTTTTTTCCCCCCAACCAACGCAAATGAACGAACGGAGCAAACCGTCGGAGGAGTCGCAGGCCCTCCTCGGATTAATGATCGTCGCGGGTCCGAGGTTCGCGGGGGAGCAGGAGCCGGGGTCCAGCAGAGTGCCACGGAGTCAGATGAGCTTGTAGAAGAGTAGGCATGCGGCTGTGACCCAGTGGCTGGCCCAGTCGAGGCTGGACCACGTGGCGATAGTGTGAGCCATGTTGTAACCCTGCGGGGGGGGAGGGGGGGATACCAGTTGCACATCTTCAAAGCGGTGCCCCATTCTTACCCAATTACACATTTGAAGGTTGGCTCTCAGTTATCCGGGATAATGAGAGTGAGGGACGGCCCAGATAAATAAAAAGCCATGGTTAAATAAAACATGTTCATGTTAGGCTATAACTCTATTTTTATTTGCGTATAATTGGGTGGAGGGGGGAGATGCAGAATGTGTCATCTGTTTTTATTGTTTCTTAGTGTGGTTGGTCACAGTCATAAGTGAACAGCAGCTCACAATGGAATCGGCGTGTACACGTCGCAAGCACGGATAATTCGCAACCCGGATAATGAATCTGCACACTGATAATTATCGAGTTTTTAAAAATGTGTTCGTCGTAACTTTTTGGCATTCTGGTTTGTACACTTGTTGCTTACGACTCGTGATTTACTTTCATATCATCGGCAATTATTGATCCACCGCTGCAGGCCTCCCCCACCCCCCCAAGCCGTCACCATCCCTTAAGGTCATACGATATAACGATCCATCTATCTCGTGCACACGAGCTGATCACATCGCTCCATCTCCATGGTAGATGTCCTCTTGAGTGCATTGTTTTCTTTGGCTGCCACTCCAACCATCATTCTAGCTACCTTCCCACTTCATCATTTTCCTGCCAATGCCCATTTAACCTTTTCCCATTCCGATGACGTACTTGTACGTAAAATAAAAATAACTTTATCGGTACGTCTTCACGTCGGAAGATGTACAGAGGCTCCCACAAGGCTACGCGGGAGGGGTGTGTGGCAGTTTGGCACCAGCTATCATAGAGTGGCGGTCGTGTTGCTACAGTTTTCTGTGGTGAGTACAATGTTTTTAAAAACAACGGCACTTTGCCTCTCTAAATAAAATCACCGGCAACCGCTTGTGCGTGTTCTGACATTCAGCGGTGAACAGGACACCCACCCTGCAACTTGCAGACATCTCGGAACGGGAAAGGCTTCATGATGTTTGTATAGTGAACGTTGATTTGCTGTTTTCATCTCCCATTGATTTTATCAAAATCTCCCTTGCAAAGGAAATTGTACCGATGAGCTTTCCGCTGGTTTTATAATTAAAGCAAATCAATCTATCGCCCTATCCGTCTGGCTGCCTCTATCCAATTTTGAGAAGCACAACCGCAAAAAGAAACATTGCAAGCGTTGGTAAACAAGAGTACGTTAGGATCCATGGCTGTGAAATGGAAAAACCGTGTTTTTGAGTGCGGGATACACTGGAAGCCGCACCAACAGTCGAGCTGCCACGTGCCGTTCTTCCCCTCGTGAGTATTAAACGCTCGTCAATGCCGCAGCTCCACTCGCTCTCCGGGAGCTCGTAACTCCGGCTCGCAAAAAGGTGAACGACGACTCCTCGGCTATTCCGGTATCGGGCGGAAGGTGCGACCCCGCGTTAATCGAACAATTGGAATGCGAGAGCAGCGCTTTAATCAGCGTTCTCGCCCCAACAGACGCCCCCCCCCCCTATTTATTAAAAGGCGAGCCGTCTCTCCCAAAGGATCAGCCAGGTCTGGCGAAACAGCGCCCGGCGCCGAGAATGTAATCTCCCGCGCATCGCTCCTGCATCCCAATTCACAAATTACCCACCTGAGCGTTGTTACCTGCAGCTTAGGAAGCCTCGCAGGAAGTTGTTAATGTCACTGAGTATCGGCTCTTGTAGGCTGCTGCAAGGGTGGGGGGGGGCTACGTCTGTGTCCTCTCTCAATTTTGGTCAATTTACCATCTAGGAGCACCCTAAAAACTCACGGTTGTTGCCAACCACAGCCACAGTCACGTCTGCGACGTGCGAATGTGAATCTGCGAGTATAATTTATCCTCTCTTTGTCTATTTTTTAACTACAGTAAAACCTTGGATTGCGAGTAACTTGGTCTGCGAGTGTTTTGCAAGACGAGCAATTTTTTAAAATAAATATTCATTTGATAAACGAGCAAGGTCTTGCAATACGAGTACTGTAGTGCGTACAGTATACGCTTTGTCTGCCGAGCGTCACGTGATCACAACTGAGCCGATGGTTCTTCTCTCTCTTTCTCTCGCTGCTGGATTGTGGGTAATCGTCTCCCATGCTCGGTCTCAGTCGGCGTGCCTCACTCGTATAGTCAACATCCGTGCGAGCGTATACTGTTTACTATAGTGTTGTGACCACGAGTGTGCGTAAAGCATGTTTTTATTTTGTGTCCAAGTGTAGCGACTGTTCTTTAGTAGCTGTACTGCAAGTGAAAGTCATCCTACACAATAACCTTCCTCCTCCTCTCTCTCGTCTCCATCACACCAGCCACGATTAAATGTAATTAATACATTTTATTAATTTATATTAAATTGAAATAATAAAAATATAGAAAGGTATTTTGTATTAATCATTTTTATATGAATACAGTATTTTTGGGTTGTGGAACGAATCATCTGAGTTTCCATTATTTCTTATGGGGAAATTCGCTTTGATACACGAGTGCTTTGGATTACGAACACGTTTTCGGAACGAATTATGCTCGCAATCCAAGGTTTTACTGCATCTCTATTTTGTTGTTCTATACCACGAGCACTGCCCGCGCATTTACGCGGGATGCACGGCCGGGGTGGAGGGTGGGGGCAAAGGGGGGGGCCGTGACGTCAGCGCGATGCACCAACCCGGCTCAACGCTGTGGGATGCGGGTGATGTCATCGCGCAGGTGTGCGCGGTGGTGACGTCACCCAACCCCCAAACCCCAAGCCTTGCTTACCTCCTCCTCGAGAGATTCAGAGTCCGTCTCGAACAGGGAGCCCAGGTAGGTGAGGTGGAAGAGGGTCAGCGCTCCAAAGCAGAGGTTTGCCAGCCGCACCCACACCGTCTGGGGAGGCAGGACGGTGGGCGTGAGACATCTTTACATGTATGTTGAACTTCTTTCGCGTCGTACGTACGTAGGCAACCGTGCTAATCGAAGGTGCGGGGGGGAAGGACAGCAAACTAAACACAAGAAGCAGTTCTAAACAAATTATTTTTCAATCTAGATTTAAAAGCGCAAATCTCCAGTGGCTTCTTTTTTTCTTTAGCGTCTTTTTACAATTCTGTTGCAATTGAAAGAGTAAAGAAGATGGCAGGTGACTGAAAAATGATGATGGAGGGAGAACGGTTAAGGTTGAAATCAAGCTTGTGAAACCAAGACAAGGAAATAACACGGTGGTGATTCGGAAAAGTTAAGGGAGTGAACGGGGACAAGACGGGAGCTCGTACTCGGTGATGAAACGCGAGCGTGGAAGGAGATGGGAGTATAGGGGGGGAAGACAGGAGCCCGTGGTGGGGTTAGAGGCAGCAGTCAAGGGTCTACAAGAGAAACGATCGAGACTGATCGAAGCAGTGTTTCCCGACCTAAAGAACGAGATCCACCGCGGATGAGGTGTGAGGGAAGGGACAGATGACGACGATCCACCAGATGATGGCACGGAGACATTTCCACGTGGAACTCTACAGCTTGCAGCATTAGAGGATGGCCCTCAGAAGACGACGTCACAAACCTACTTTTGAAGACCCTTGAACACCTCACTTTACCCACGCTTTATCCCGGTAAAGATTGCCCATCGCTTGTTAACACAAGTCGATATAAACAAAAATTCAGAGCTGAAATGTAGCCAAATTCCGTATAACGCCAAATTTTAAACGATGAGAGTATTTGCGTGCAGTCATTTGGTGATCGGGCGAAGACCGTCAAGTCACTGCAGCTGAGAACCAGGGTTCATTACGGGCGGCTGAAACCCAAAATCAGGGATATCCGTGTCCGCCGGCTCGGTGCTCCGACCCCTGAATCGACTGGTCACTTGAGAAAGTACTTCTTGGTATCGTGTGGATGGGTCTGGAGTTCCCATCTCGCTCACCATCTGGACCGCGTGCTTCCTTCCCTCGTTTTTAAATCATTAAGTGAGTTGCGGTGCTCCCCTATCGGCGATCATTTCATCTCTCTGTCTTCTTTATAGCCATTTGTCGTCATATGAAATCCCTACAAACCGTAAATTTACATACGCGCGTTGCTTTTTACATGCACACACCTAGCTAGGCAGGTCATACATCTTCAATGTACCGGATTTGTAAACAAATGCGACCAACGCAATAACCTGAAGCGAACCACATCCGTACTTACGATGAAATAGTAAAAAAAATTAATGAGCAGCGCTCTGCAAAATCAACACCAGGGACGGGGTAGGGGCAAACTGGTGAAGACGTAAAAATATATTAAGTAAAAAAAATATTGCAATTCATCACAAACAAATTTTACAAAACAGCTCTCCCGAGACACATTTCATTCTTTTTTATAATAAAATTATGATGTTTTATTTTTATTATTTCATTATTTCCCTTCTACGTGACTTTACCGAAAGAACCAAGAAGAAAAAAAGAATGAAATGTTTCTCGGGAGATCATTTTATTATATTATGTTTTATTTTCTAATTGTATTATTTCCCTTCGATGTGACTTTACCGAAAGAACCAAGATCATGAATCCCTGCAGTCACGAAAGCTTTAAATCGAAATTTCATTCTTTGGATCGCAAATGTGGCCCGCGACGGGTTCCGGGATGCGCGGCTCGGTCACCTGCTTGTGCCGGTGCTGGCAGTCGGGCCGGCATCGCCGGGACAGGATGCACGCGCCGAATATGCTCGCCAGCTTCTTTCTCAGCACTGCGGCAGCCCACGGGACGGGACGGGAGCGTGAACAATCGCGAGCACACAGCCGCCCGCTACGCCTGCGATGATGACGACGATGACTTAGGCTGGGATGGAGGGGGGCGAATGTGAATGGGTAAAACTAAAAGTTTGATAATTGCTGTCGTGAGGAAACATTCCAAGCAAGTGATGATGATGGTTGAGAGGGATATGGCAGTGGTAGTGATTATGATGGTAGTGATGACAGTGATGGTGGTTATAAATGATAATTATGGCGATGTTGGTGATATTGATGATTATGGTTGTGGTGGCTGATCATGGTGATGATGGTGGTAATGCTAATTATATGGTGATTGCGCCGTCGTCATAATCATGGGGCTCGTGATACGGCCATACATAGGCCTGTTTGTGGAGATAGATTAATATTTGACCATGGGGATCATTATGGTAATGGTGCGAATAGATTTCGCCCCGGTGGTGAAGATGGTGGCGATCGTGTTGACGGTTACCATTACGGTGATCATGATTTGGTCACGGTGAAGATATGGTATTAATGATAATAACAAAACATGGTGAATATTTGGTCATGGACTGACAATTCTGAACAATGAGCATCCCAATTCCTCACCGTGCTCCGTGTAGGTTACTAGTCCGAGTGACAGCAGAACAGCGCCCAGGTGAAAACTCAGACCCTGTTGTGGGAGCAAAGGTACAGGCCATAAATATAATTTATTCTGACGGTGGCGGTGGCATTCATACATTAATAGATTTCTGCCATTAAATCCATAAATTCATTCATGTCCTTACTGCAATATAGAGAAATATAATGGGACAATTAGACGAAAAAATGTGTTTTGTTTTTATAAAGTGTTGCCGTGGTTCAAGCAACTTGCATCACAAATCGCTGAAGAAAGGCCAACGCTGGAAGGCAGCAGCCGGCCAGGCCAGCGTTACCAACAATTGCCTAAGCTCCACAGTCCTCTCTATATTAAGATGTTTTCGGCCATTAAAGGAGAGTTTATCCAGGAGACGATGATGATCATGAGAGACTCACGTGCAGGAGGGCGCTGGCAGCGTACGTCACCAGGATGGCAGGGAATGTGCCGAGCTGCACAGTATTCTTAAAGACATCTGCCACGGGAGGTCGGGGATGCACAACAACACACAACGTAAACGGTCAACAAGCAACGGCGCAAATTGTTATTTTCAGTTATGTATTGTATAATATAGCGTTGAATAGGGACCCCCATATCGTAAAGGGACACAGCCAATTAGTAAGGTTTGTCACGTAAACAGAACGTGGCCAATTCGTCACTAGTACAGCACACCGGTGCGTTGGAGAGCAAAGCCACAACACTTACAATCTGAATACGTTTCGCCGATAATTACAACTAGCTTCATCAGGCGACAGCCAGATTTGTGGAGAAATCCTCCTGTTTCGTTCCTTAAATAGAGGGGTGATGGCATCACTTGTGAGCACTTCTTGGCGATGTGGTGGGAGGGATTAATGAATGCATATACATGACAATCGGTATCCATTGCCGGTTGGGTTATTTATATGGTAATCGACGTACATTATGCATACACATTTATATATTTACCCGATCTAACCCAAAAAAACCTGTATTATGGACGGTCGCGGAAGCCTACGTGTTAAACGGACGTGCGTTTCTCTGTGTGATTGGCAGTTCACCAGCATTGATTCAAACAAGGCCGACTGCTGATGAGACACTGTATGTCGAATTTGGCCCACAGTTTGCTTGTCTTGAATCAATGCTGCTAAAATGATCAGAATCAGAAGTTGATGCACTCTCAGAAGGCTGTGTGGCTGATGGGTTGCAACATACTTTTATTTTTACGTGGAGGCACGGATACGTGACGGGAGGCAGCGCCTGCTTATTTATTTCGTCAAGACGCAAGACAGGTGTATGTGCAGTGGGACACCTGTAATCTGGACCAACACGCGACAATTCGTATTTAGAAGCGTGCACCGACCGCTGTGGTAAAATATGGTCGAAACAATCTTGATTTGAAGCTTTCGTGACTGCGGGAATCCATACTCTTTGGTTCTTTCGGTAAAATCACGTAGGTAGAAAAATAATAGATCACGACGTTTCGATCGCAAAACACAAGCAATCGTCATCAGGTGGGACAACTACAGCAATTTTTTCTTGTTGTGACTTTACCGAAAGAACCAAAGAATATGGTCGAAACAACCTCCCAGTGTTTTTTCTTCTTGGTTCTTTCGGTAAAGTCACGTAGAAGGGAAATAATAAAAATAAAAATATTAAAATAATTCTCACGACGTTTCAGGTGAAGAACAGGTCTATCAGACGGCTGCTTGCGTTGTGGCCGAAACGTCGTGAGAATTATTTAATATTTTATTTTTATTATTTTATTATTTCCCTTCTACGTGACTTTACCGAAAGAACCAAGATGAATCCCTGCAGCCACGAAAGCTTTAAATCGAAATTTAACCTCCCAGTGACCGATGTGGCAACACGTGGAGCCGTGTTTGCAGTGGTGAACGTCGTAGACTATGAAGACAGTTGCCTGAGTTGGGCTCCCGACCACGGCTAACATCGGCGGAGAGTGATAGCTAAAATCCCTTCCTTGACAAGCCGACACCAAACAGCGTGGGGTGGTGAAGTATAATCCAACAACCCCGATGACTGGAACGGCATTGGCAATCCATAATTCACGGGAAGATTGACAGGGCTGTAAATGAAATTGCACAGAAAAGGAAACCGCATCTCAAGGCGCTGTACAAATCGGGGAAATGTGTCAATCTAGAGAGCAAGAGAGTTTGAAGAGATTTTTTTTATAGCAGGGAATAAGGGACGGGGGTGGGGGGGGGGTGCAATTGAGACGACATTACGGTAGAAGGGCACTTCATTGAGAGGGAGACCCGAGGCACACGAGTAGAGGAAAAGTCTTGGGCCTGGGATGGAACCGAGTAAGGCTCTGAGCAGTGTGTGCAACAGGAATGTAATGTGAGGCGGTGGGAACAACAGGGGAGTGAGCGACCTCTCGTTGAGTGATGGTTGACCGAGTTTAGAGAGGAGGCCTCGGTTATCGGAACGAGATGAGAGGGGGGAAGAGGTAGGTAACGTTCTGTTCGTGGACATTAAACCAACATTTTTGTTTTGGCTTTTCCTGAAATATTTCTTTTGTTTTTGACACAAATCCATCTCCATTTGTCGAAAGAGTAAAGTTCCACGGGTGCTGTCATCATCAATATTTACAGCGCCGATGTTGAACCGGCGCATTTCGGGCCCATTATTATTAATATTGAACATTCAAGCTTCCCATTTATCTTTTGAAGGCCAGAATTTTAAGCGAGAGCAGAGGCTAAAAATAAAACTAATTATACCACACAGTGAAAGAAAACAACTTAACTTTTAAAAAATATATTATTTGCAATGTCAAAGCCGATGTTACATTGAGACTGACAGAAGTTGAAGCGAACATCTCGAACCATGGCTTTAAATAGAACCTACGCTCTGCTAAACGCATCACGATGGTAATGAAGACAAAATAATGAGTAACTAACACAAGAAAGTCTTACTGGCTTAGATTTAAAATATGAAAGTAATCAACTTTTAGCTTTTTTCGTCTTTTTAACAAAACATATATACAAGTTATTAGAATGGTATAGCCAATCTTGGCATTTAATAATCTTCGTTTGTTTGACTTTTTTTCATCAGTTTTTCTTTTAAATAATCCCTTCACTCATTGCTTTGTAACAGATTCACATTTACATTGTAAAAAAAATTCTAATTAAAGGCAACTCTAAGTGCCAAAATAAAAGTTGACATGCACCTATACCTGCATAGGTCCAAAACAAAGAATAATCGTCTTTCCGATCAATATTATTCAGCAGTATTTGTTTAATCAAGAAAACCCTGGACTTTTTGTGACCTCCTGGGTCTCTGGGATACCAGATGTTGTTGCCAAAGATCACTCCATCTAAACTATGGAGCCCTGTACAATTGAAAATTGGAGGAAAAAACCATCACGCGAACCCCGGTCATCCTCGCAGCGGCTTTCGGCTGGCCATCGAACAAAGATGGTCACTGCATCGCGCGTTTTCAGATGCGCTTTTGTGGCCGTCTGGAACGCTCTTCCTTCCGATTGTTAGGAAGCCACTGGAGCCATGCACTTTTAAATCTAGATTGAAAACTCCTTTCTTCAGAACTCCATTCTGTGTTTAGGTTGTCCTTCCCCCGCATCTCCGATTAACACGGTTGGCTACGAACGGTGTGAAAGAAGTTCAACATACACACTTACAAAAAAACAATATTATTAATAAGTGTGAATCTAATAATACATCTCTAGGTTTGTGAGTTACTGATGGCCCGTTGTCAATCCATTGCTGGGTGAAGACTTACCCACATCCGTGTCAGTCATGGGAGTTGTTTGACCATACTTCACCATTTCTGTCAGTGTCGATTGGTGAAGTGGAGGACCCAGGACCGGTTCCAGATGTCACTCTCCAATTACGTTAGCCGTGGCCGGGAATCAAACTCGGGTCATCCGTTTCACAACGCAGCGCGAGCAAAAAACACCGGCGCCGCCACTTCTGCACAAGAGAGTCGCGTGTTTGCAGTACTGTCAGCCGCGATGCACGTGTATTCAGGCACCACGTCGCTGGCCGATCTGAGCACTGCGACTGGGAACTCACACGTGTTGAGCCAGCGAGACATGGGAATGTTCCAGCTTGTGACGACTTCCACCATGGACCTCGGCACTTCAATGTTGAGCGGATGGGAGACGTCCATGTCCCTAAACATGTAAACACGTCACAACAAGTTACTCACACGTCACAGCTTGTACGTTGAACGTCTATTGGCACCGTACGTAGCGAACCGTGTGAATAGGAGGAGCTTGCATTGACAGTTGGGGCAATGCCATTAGCAGGCAACTTTGTTGGCTGCCTTTGTCTCCCCCATGCTGATGCTTACACAAGGCCACGGGCACTCAGTTTAAGGCTGAGCTGACATAAGGGAGGCCGGGACAGGGTTCCGATATCGCCCCGCCACACTGATGTTAGCCATGTCCGAGAGTCGAACCCAGGTTGTCAGATTCGGCAGTGAAGTGCGTGTTAGCATGTACGCCACAGCTCTCCAAATGCTACACGTCACATGTTGCACACACACCATCACACGCGTCACCCTGGAATGATTCTGTTTGGAGAGATCTCGACAGCAATTAACATCGCTGAAGTTTATCATAGTTGACCGGCAAACGTATTAAACCACATCCTGGTCTAGTTCAGCGTGAAGCTAGGGTTATTGTTAATGTTTGTGCATGTGCATACACGCGCTTTATTACACGCTTGCTATGCCCTGGAGATTCAAATGAATAGTTTTTAAAAAGTAGATTGTTTTTACTCTTCTATTGGCTTCATATCATTCTCAACTCTTGTGGAGCAGCGCATCACCCTCCATGTGTTTGAGAACGGTACGCAGAAGGAGATATTGCAGAACTACTTCTGCCAAGCTGTATTTTTTTTTATCCATAACCAGGACACGCTTTTCTGCGTGTCGTGCTGCAGACAAATGTTTGTTTCGTGCGAGTCAAACTTGACTCTTTATAAAAAAAATCCTGACAGCCTCGGTTTAGCCAAAATAAAGCAATGAAAAAACAAAATGTATCATGATAGATTTTTGTTGTGTGCAGTCGTGAGTGACGGGACTGAGTCCAACTTATACAACACAGGAGAAATCGGTTTAATCATGTGACCGAAGCCTGGATTCGAACCCAGGTTATTAGTGGTGCTACTCAATACTCTCAACCTCTGAGCAATTGTGCCAGCTCAAAAGAAATAGCAAAAAAAAAACAATTTACTTGCCGGAAATTGGTACCGCTATGTGAACATGGAGCTGGCCTGGGCCGGGGGGTGGGGGCTGCAGGGGTGGGGGCTGGGGGGGGGCTAGGGGAGGCGGGGGGGGCTGAGGGGGGGGCTAGGGGAGGTGGGGGGGGGCGGGGGGCCGTGTTTAATTTGTACAAAGCAATACCCTCAGCATAAAGCCAGGGTTATCGTTGTTGTTCGTGCGAGTGCATGCACATACTTCATTGCATGCTCACTATGCCCGGCAGCTTAAATTTACAGCAATTGCACAATTTGTTCTAGGGTTGTGTAATTGGCATAGACCGAGTGACCACAGCCCGAAAGCAAAGTTTCCTAAACTCCAATCCCCATGCTCTACCACGGGTCTGCCTGCCTTTCCACACTTGTCATTATTTTCAATTCGAATCGCAGTCAATGTTTGGTTTTATCTTCTTCAGCCGTCCGTCGCGAACGACGATGACTTGCGGAGAACAGCTAGCCGGCGGCATTTCCCTGCGCGCCGGTGGGATGAGAGGCACAGCCCTCAAAGCGGAAGCGTCAGCCACGCCGCGCATCTTGCACACCGTCAGCCGTCGCACATGCAGATTGCGTCTCGCAGTCGCCGAGGGAACCACAGACAAAACAAAACCACGGCGCTTGCCAGCGGGGCGGCCACTGGGGGACCACCGCAAGTTCCACGCCGGCGTCCTGGGTAGCAAGTGTTATTTCCGAATTGCTCATGCCTCAAAAGTACAGAAAACGGATATTATTCCCCACAAACTTTGCTTCATCAGAGCAGTGATTTTTTTACAAATTGAAGCTCAGTTATATGCAGTCCTACAGTGATAAGAAGTGAAGTGTTTTATGATGTAGTTTCGTGTAAGAATCACTGCCATTGATACAGTGCTACAGTGAAATGCAGTGAAGCGTTTGTTGACTTCGTTTTGTGCCAGATTCACTGCCATTAATACAGTGCTACAGTTAAATGCAGTGAAGTGTTTTATGACGTAGTTTCGTGCAAGAATCACTGCCATTAATACAGTGCTACAGTGAAATGCAGTGAAGCGTTTGATGACTTCGTTTTGTGCCAGAATCACTGCCATAATACAGTGCTACAGTGAAATGCAGTGAAGTATTTGATGACATACTTTTGTGCAAGATTCACTGCCACTACATTTACACGAGATACAATTATACTCTGCTCGATTTTTTCGTAAATATTACAGCTTCCGTCCTAGGACGGGCAAAGAAGCTAGTAAAAAATAAAAAACAGGGCCGAACAGCAAGGATTATTACTCATACTCGCTCCACAATTCCTAAGCAGCATTGCTCACGTCAGAGAGAGTCGTGCTCTCATTTTTGTGTGTGTGTGACATCAACATCGGCCCAAGCCATTATCAGCTTATTGAAAGGATGCGACCCTTGAACACAAAGTCGTGATATTTGAACCAGTTTCCCCCCCACCCGACTTCACCCACCGGCACTGACCAGCATTGTAAGGTATGGCCTTTATCAGGCAATGGATTGGAAAGGTCCGGTGAAATAGATGGGTTCTCTAAATTGACAGCGTGGTGGTGGTGGTGGTGTGTCGAACGCGCGCACCTAAATATCCGGTATGGGCTTTGCCGATGGAATTTGAAGACAAAAAAAACCAATCCCATCGTAGTGCTCGTGGGAAACAGCGAGCACAGCACGGCTTGTCTGCAATAAACCAGCGAGCGGAGGGAGTGAGCTGCTGCTGCTGCAATGCAGCTGTTTTAAAAAATTTTTTAACAAACCTTTCGTGTGCATTGCTTACAATTCGTAGAAATATGACTCCCGTAATGTTGAACAATGATGAGACTGCTACAATCACTGGACCGCCCTACTTTGTCAATGGGCACGACGGTACTTAACATTTCGAAGGCAGCCTGCTCTCACCTCCTTTTCCCGACGGCCCCTCATCCTCCCCCCACCTTCCCTGGATCACACCAGCTCAACGTGTGACGGCTGTAAAGTGTGCGTGGTCTGGCGAGTGAAGTCCTCCTGTAATGGGTGTATTTATAGGCAGCACCTACGCACTGCTCGGACATTACCCTCTCTGGAAGGGCACGGAGGCTGTGGCCGGGCCAGCAGTTGGCTTCCCATCTGCTATGGTGGAAGCTCCGCATTTGTCTGTCCCGCTGTGCCCCGAGCAAGCTTGCCGGGTGGTGGCGTCTGTAGATGGTCTACGAGTATTTGTTTAATCTAAAACGCTGGACTGTGTGGGCGATTAGAGCATTTCGGGCATTCTCTGATGCGTATTCATTCATTCAGTATCCCTGCCCATTATCTGGAGGATTGGAGGCTTTGGTAGCCATATTCTTAGGTTTTTTCGGTAAAGTCACGTAGGTAAAAAATTCTAAATTAATAAAAGTAAAATAAAAATTAAAATAAAAATCACGACGTTTCGGAGGCAACACAAGCTTCCGTCTTCAGGTGGAACCGTCACAGCACGATTGCTGTATCAAGTAAATGCCTATAGGCTTTGGTAGCCACTTTATCCTGTTGCTTGTACCCTGTGCCAGTGTTGCTTGTACACTGTTCGAATCGTTTCAGCTGGGGCTATGTTCTACCAGTTGTCCCCACTTTCACCCAGTGCTTTAATTGGATAACCTTGACATGCTTTACCTTTGGCCATACCTTTGATTTATAAACGAAACTATTTTTAGGTTACCAGGTAAGGACTACTGAGCTGTATAGCTGTTCTTGGGTTTTTTTCGGTAAAGTCACGTAGGTAAAAAATTAAAATTAATAAAAGTAAAATAAAAAAAATAACGACGTTATTTTTTATCTTTATTTTTATTTTACTTTATTAATTTTAATTTTTTCCTACGTGACTTTACCGAAAAAAAAACCTAAGAATATGAATCCTTGCAGTCACGAAAGCTTCAAATCTAGAATGTATAGCTGTTATTCAGAAGCGGCCTGGCCACACATTATATCTCAAATAAGTGGCTTATCATGTGGAGGGAAACGAAAAGAAAAATCAACGCCGATCACAGGGAGAACATGCAATCTCCAAATACACAGGCATTATAGGGTTGGGATCGAAACCACGACCTCCTGTATACCGGGCGAGGTAGTTAACATCTCGCTACCATGGCAATACTTTGGGCCTGCAAATGAATGCTGCTTCTTGTCTTTGTTCACGGCAGTCCATCAAAGTGTCCCCATGTTCTGTGAGTTGGACAATGGTCGTATCCCTAGTTTTAGTCGTCAACAGTAAAAACTCCAGATGCCTATGATAATAAAACCACAATTTGAGACTTTTAATCATAAGTCTATGATTCACCTTTTAAGTAACTCTGACATCATAAAGAAACATCCTTAAATAAATTTTTCCAGTTTCTTTCTGAATAACATTTTTTGCCTGATCTAAAAAATATTTCCCATTCCTTGATGAGATGTAAAATTAAAGTGCGGCTGTTTTTCACCGTTAACGCCACCATTTTACAAGTACATGCAGCAATGTGCAACCAGGGCCAACATCTCATTACAGCTAAAGTGTTCGCGAGCGTCGCGTAACCATTTGCAAATGGCGTAATTCTGTTGTACAACAGCGTCATTTGAAAAAAAAAAAATTCCCCACGTAGGCCGTCATTCAAATGACTCAAGGCGATAAAAAATCTGAGGCTGCTAGATCCGGGCTGTGCGGGGGATGGGGCAGCACAGGCCAAGCAAACTCTGCACCAGCCTCTGATGTTGTCAGGGTCCGTGTCTGGTCTGGAATTGTCAAGCTGGAAGAGGACTTCTTCTCTGTACAGCACTTTGCGACCTCTGGGTGAAAGGTGCTTTTTTAAAGTGCAAACTATTATTGTTACCACTTCTGCCGTCTGAGGAATGCTGACGACATTCCCACGCACGACGAGTATAAATGTAAAAGGATTGAGAAAAAAACAAAGATCAAGCTGGTTTTGGGACATCCCTCGTACACAGTAAATATATGAATAGAGAAAATAAGAGAATTACAGGATCATTAAAAATAATAGCACGGTGTTTTACTGCGACTATTACTGTCACCGCGATGGTAAAAGGCCCCACTATTATTTTTAATTAGCCGGTTACTTATTGTATATGTTCACTGAAGCAGAAAATTTACACCTCGGATATAAGAACATTTCAAAGCCCATCAAGAGCGGGTTGACTTATGTCTTGACGTTTGCCAGCACGATGCTCATTCGCGCCGTGTCTTCCAAATGTTTACTGCCTCCTTCTTTCAATGCATCATTACTCGAGACGTAATGTCTGAACATATAATGTTTAAAGCCGGCGTGTTTACCATGAGGCTGTTGGTTTGTTGCCATCTGTCACAACTGCTTGCTTTGTAATCCGACACAACTGATGCGCGTCCCCCATATTGTTCCACGACCTAATCTGATGCAAGCTTCTTGAATCCGTGTTTTTGCACCGTGGATCCTTGTCGCCTGCACTCACCTGTGTTCATCGTTGCCTGTACATAACACTGCACCTGTCGGAAAATCTTAACAATGTAACATTTGCAAAAACAAAAAAGGGGTTTTTTTTTGTTACGGGGTGAATGGTTTTGTGTAGCGCGCCCGACTGTGTCTGCGCTCTTTGTTTGTGTGGAGCGGTAGCGTCGTGGCGAGCACGTTGCGCTGTGAACCGGGCGACACGAGTTCCATTCCCGTCCACAGCTGACATCGTTTCGCGATTATTTGAACAACGCCTGGGGCCTCCCCTAGGTTGCCTCAGCCTTCAAAAAATAAAACGTGGTTCTGGCCACACCGCCCTCTCGTGCACCGTGCTGGCCTTCGTAGGTTCTGGCTAAACTGCTTCCATTCCTCCCTTCAAAGCCATCTCGAACCAGGCCTACCCCAACCACTATGAATACCCCTATCACTACCCCAAACCCTGTCACTACCCCCAACCCCTCCTTAACCTCTGATGCCTCTTCTCCTATTTGTCACCATGACTAGACCATCACTTTTAATAACCCCACTCACTAGCTCAACCACTATAATCTCATGTACGATTTTATAATTGCTGTAAAACGCCTTGAAATAAAGCGCTATATAAATCTGCATAAGATAAGCAATAGCCCCAAACAGCCTGCGTAGGTTACGCTTTATGTGCTTTTGTGCATATGTGCGTGTGCCCGTGTGTGTGGATGTGCATGCATGTGTGAGCATATATGTGTGTGTGCATGTGTTGCATGAGCGGTAGTGTAGCGATTAGCACGCCGTGCAAAGAACCGGGTGACCCGAGTTCGATTCCTGCTCACGTTCAACACCAGTCACGAATATTTGAAACGGTCCAGGGCCTCCCCTAGGTCGACTCAGACTCAAAAAGCACCTGGTGCGGTGTGTAAACATCGCCACTGGGGGGAGACAAAGGCGGCCGGGCATGGTCTTGGCCACCCACCCCCTCGTGTGCCGGCCTTCATATGTGCTCACAAACAGCACTTGCCCCAAAAGTCTATTAAGGCTATACGGGGGGTGAATCATTGTCTTTGTTCTAGATTTGAAGCTTTCGTGACTGCAAGGATTCATATTCTTAGGTTTTTCGGTAAAGTCACGTAGGTAAAAAAATCTAAATTAATAAAAGTAAAATAAAATAAAAATCACGACGTTTCGGAGGCAACACAAGCTTCCGTCTTCAGGTGGAACCGTCACAGCCCGACAGCTGTATCAAGCCGTCACAGCCCGACAGCTGTATCAAGCCGTCACAGCCCGACAGCTGTATCAAGCTGTCGGGCTGTGACGGTTCCACCTGAAGACGGAAGCTTGTGTTGCCTCCGAAACGTCGTGATTTTTATTTTATTTTACTTTTATTAATTTAGATTTTTTTACCTACGTGACTTTACCGAAAAACCTAAGAATATTGTCTTTGTTGCATGAGCGAACCTCCCTGCCCCGCTCCTCACCACTTGACGTGATCCTTCTCCACGGAGTAGCCCCCTCCGGCGAGAGTGCAGCTCGTCTCCGACAGGAAGCCCACAAAGTAGCTGCTGAAGTGGAAGGACAGCGCCGTCTGGTACGCGTTGAGCCACCTGGGAGGGCAGAGAGGGCACCGGCGTTGCTGGGTGATGGACGCCCGCATGAGAACATGGGGACACTTTGACCGGCTCAAGTGAGCAAACAGACAAGAGCAAAATACATTTGCTGGCCCCAAGTAGCACTACGGTGGCGCAATGTTAACTGCCTCGCCTGGTATGCAGGAGGTTGCGGGTTCGGTCCCGCCCCTAACACCTGCTGCTGTATATTTAAAGTTTGCATGTCTTTCATCCCCGCGGTCGAGTGGATTTTCCTCCGGGTCCTCTGGTTTTTCCCTCCACGCTTAGAATCAACGTGCGTTTGAAGTATTTGGCTGCTGTAAACGTCCGCATGATAAGCCACTTTGTTGAGCTATCATTTGTGGCCAGGTCGCTTCTGAAAAAGAGCTATATAGCTCAGTGGACCTTACCTGGTAAAATAAAAATAGTTTATTTAAAATAGTCAATTTGTCCGAGTGGGATTAATGCGGCGACTTCCAATATCACCCGGGCAGGGACACAGCCCCACGTTGGAAGTTTGGGTGGTGTATAAACACACATTTTAAGTGGTCCAAAACATCTTAATATATGCAGGGCAGCAGAGCTTGGGTAATTGTTAATGCCAGCTCGCTGCCTGGCTGCCTTGCTTGCCTGCCTGTAGTTCCTCGTGGCTCTTAGGCGTTCTCTGTCATTCGGAGCAAGTGGATACTGTGCGGTGCCTTACAAGCTGGAACAATTCCATTGTTACTAATTATTATAATAATAAATGGTTCCCGGTGATTATTGGTTATGTTACAGATATTATCCGCTAAGTTCACCCCCCACCACCCTGTAAAAGATAAGGGCTGTTCTACTCTACTCTAATTACATTACATCTATGCAACTCGCAGCTACTGACTGGCTACCAAGATCCAAGAAGTCAAAATAAAAATCCTGGTGACGTGTGGCTTAGTTTGGAATTAAACCGCGTATCTGGCTGCTAAATTTGATTGCGATGACATTTCTCCCAACTTACCAGCGAGCTGAAAAGCATTAATGATTAGCACGTTCTTGTACCCATGACAATTTAATTTGTTTGGCCGTGTCGGCTGGTGGAGGGTCTTAACGACACAAATTTGGCCTCACCCCAAAAATCTCTTAGGATTTGTGATATTGTCTGCGAAAAAACCTCTGCAGCTTGCGTGCATTTTGTTTGCTGGGGGAGTCTGCATCGGCACATTACCTTGGCAATCCGGCCCTTGAGAAGAGAAATGGAGAAGAGAGGAGGGGCAGGGCAGGGCAGGGAGGCGACATGAGAAAAAGATTTCAGCCGAGAGAGAAACTGAAACGTTAATGCAGAGACGCCTGAGAAGAGATAATCGAGCAAAGCCCGACGCACCGTGCACACTTAGACACGCGCCTACTGTTGCCAGCACTCGACTCAGGTTCAGTGACACATCCCCCCCCCCCCGCCCCCGCCATTTGATACAACGCGTGGACATTTAAAAAACGCCGAATGGAAATGGAACGCGTCCGAGAGAACGTCCGCCCTGGAGATGGAGCGACGAGATCAGTTCGTGCGCAGGTGCTCGACGGATTGGCGCATCGCAAGATTGTGGCATGTGGTAGTGGTGGTTTGGGGAGGTCCTTCATCCAGCAGTGGACTGGTCTTGATGAATAGGAAGTGCAGGCTTTGCCGATTGCCCTCTGACTTATGTTTACAATTTTTATTGGTGTCATTGCATTTACGTAAAAATGTTAAAATTCTTTTAAAACTGAAAATATTTATTAAATAAGTTATTAAATATATTTGCCAATTTAGCAAACGTCACACTTGAGTCTCAAGAATCAGCCATAGGGGATATTTGGTATAGGTAAACCATAAAGTTACTTTGTCCACTCCATTGCTGGCAGAGGGCCTCCAACTCAGGACATTTTAAATAATGAATAAGTGTTCGATATGTTGGAAAAATATCAGAATACCTAGAAATTACATTAAAAAAAAATTTGCAAGGGCAGGTGAGCTTCCTCTTAGAATCACCCCTTTTCCCTGCAGGTTTTCAAGATTGTCGTATGAGACAAATCTCAGCATGATCCACCCCAGATTACAAATGCCAGTGCACCCAAAACCGACGGCAGGATCTTTAGCTCAAGGCAATGTACATGGCCGGGTTAAGGTGATAACACTAAGAATCTTTGCTCTTAATGTGGTGCTTAAATGGCTCGGCAACTCAAAGTGCCTTACGTGACCCCGGGGTCAATAGCTGTTCCCATGTGACTTATGCAGCCTGGACGGGCCTGCAGGTGGGCACTAGCATGCCTGGGTGCCAGGATTGCGACGTGTTATCCCAATGGAGTCATTTGGTTCACTGAGTTGCTATAAGCTGTCGGCAGGGTTGCAACTGGCTCACTGCAGGCCTGGCTGAAGGGGTACACGTGGTCAGCCCTCCTAGCCGGCTGGGAAAATCCACAGGTGATGTCAGTACTTTCTCTCGTCTCCTCGTGGACGCAACCACAACAACGGGAATGAAAAGTGCATTAAACCAAATTAATTAATAAAAAACTCGTCTTGCCTCGGCGGCTGGAAACCGTATGATTTGAGTGAAATTATAAAATATGTTGATAAAAAAATATTTAATAATGGGGCGGATAAAGATTGCGGTGCTACTTCAAAGGATAAACTTTCTATATAATTGATCTGTAATTATTAAAATTCTCAAGTACATAAAAATTATATCGATTTTTTTTTCCTGTTATACGAAGAGGCCCACTTCCTATTTACAGTCGTATTATCAGCTGGCTATTTTTTTTTTTGCCAAATCATCTCTGTCCATGAATGCGCTGTCAATTTCAGAAAAGCCTTTACCTTATCTTCCTTCTCTTTTTCCCCTTCCTGGAAGAGCAGCAAAGCAGTAGATAATGAGAAAAAATGGTTTAATAAAGAAGATTTGATCAAGATAAATGACAACAGGTGGCGGTGACATCACCACAGCGCCTGTGCCAGGCCAGGTGCACACACAAAGATAAACACACACAACATAAACAAAAAGGCAAAAAAGACAAAGATCCCCCATATAGTCTCGACAGCCTGTTGGGGCAAGTGCTGTTAGCGAGCACCTATGATGGCCGGCACGGCCACACGAGGAGGTAGATGGCAAGCATCACGCCCGGCCACCTTTGCCTCCCTAGTCGCGATATTTACACACTGCACCAGGTACTCATTTTAGGCTGAGTCCACCTAGGGGAGGCCCAGGACGGGTTTTGATAATTGTCACTGGTGTTGGCCGTGAGCGGGAATCGAACTCGGGTCGCCGGGTTCATAGCGCACCACCGCTCCCCACACAAGACAAACACACACAGACACACACACAGGCACACACACACTGCCGCACACAGACACATGACACAACAGATCTGCTTCAGCTGTCCATTCGAGCGGAGCTGCGCAAAATGCATTTCAACAAAACCGACATGTTTCTGTCAGTATCGATAGCGCTGCGATGAAGATCGTGCCTTGAGGACGAGGCAATGCTACCCAGTGCTGCCCCTTTACAAGATCAATGGCGCAACATGACGCTGGCCTCCCTGCACCGGTAACCACTTTGGCCAAAACCGTGATCACGTGACCTCTTATTCGCCCTGTCTCCATGACCCACAGAACTCCGCGTTAGCTACTTGAAGTCCCCGCCTCCCAACACCGCAGTTCCGTGAATTGAGACGATTCGAGTCGGCTGCCAATTTGAGCAGAATTCCAAATTCACAGGGAAGGGTTAAAAAATGCTCTGCTCGAAGTAACATTGGACGTTCATTTTCAAAAATAATAGAGCCAATGGCGTGATTTATTATGATTATTCTATATATTTAAGCGTCCCAAACACAAAGTTCTCCACCGCTATGCCGACGCGATGCCCCTGGTAGCTTTGCGTGTGCGTGTCTTACCGTGTGCAAAGAACCTTATCGCGTGACAAGTGAAAGCAATAATCCATCGCAGCCCTCTTCCGCGCGGAGAGTCTGACCGCTGGAAATTGTTATGCGTGTAGTTTGCTGTGACGAAGGGCCTGTTTCTGAGCGCACAGAACGTAATTGGAAATTGTCTCTCTGCTGCTGCACCATTTTTAACAGAAACTCATTTACACTTAGGAGGAGGAAAAAAGTGCACCGAAATGTGTAAGAATTTTTAATGAATTCATTCGCCGCCGCTTGCTCGCGTGAACATGCCCGGCAATTGTAATATCATTGCCTTGTAAAGAATTACGAGGAACAAGTGGTCTGCCTTGAGTTAAGGTGTTTGATCGTAATTTTTCTTTGTTAAATATTATCCTTGTACTAAAGTATTGAGTGCAACGCTGCTGGTAATAACGCTCGAATGCTGGAAGTGAAATGGTTTATACACTATGTGCGTGCAGCGCTGCGTGCTACAAAGTTCACGTCGTTAAAAAATATATACTTTTTTTGACAGTGAAATGTAACGGACACCATTCTCTTGTCCCTGTCCAGAGACAGCCACACATCGATGGCAAGCAGATTCTGAACCAGACGTGAGCCTCCCTTTAGGTCGACTCGGCCTTAAATTATCAAACAACGTACGGCAAGTGCGCAAACATCGGCAGCACTGGGCAGACAAGGGAGTGCAGGCTTTGTGTGCAACACCACCTTGCCTCTTCCTTCGCGTGCTTCGCCGGCTTTGAAAGGCGCCCGCTAAACAAAACGTCATCCCTCCGCAGCCTCTGACGGCTACGCGTGTGGGAAAATCGCTGTCTTTGCGGGCGGAGAGGAAGGGTGTCCAAGGCAGGGCTTACTTGTTGAGGAACCCCAACCTGTAGATGGGGATGATGTACGGGAAGAGATACGGTGCCAGGCACGTGGACACCACCAGGCAGCAGATAGACTTGGTCAGGCTGATCAAAGACTTCTTGCACCAAGGCCAGTCCTGCGGGGGTCAAACAAGGGAGGTGCCTCTGTGCGTTACCTCGCGCGCACGAGAAAGCCCGCCGTGCAGGGATACAAAGTGGCCTGTGAGAGGCAGTGCATAGTTTTGAGCGTCATCGGTTTACGTGCTGGGGTTTTCTCAGTTGAACATCTCAGTGGTGACATAGGATCCGCAGGAAAATGTAATCATATTGAACAGAGATGTGTTGAAATAATTAGACCTAACTTTAATTCAGAGTCGCTTCATCGATCCACTGCTGGATGAAGGCCTGTCCACGCCAAGTTGGTCATGGAGATCGTTTGGCCATACATCACCAAACTGCTCAATGTGAGTTGGTTAAGGCAAGCAGCCGTCCTCAGGTGAAGACCAGGTCTGTCGGGGAGACAGCGTCCTGGTCTTCACCTGAGGACGGCTGCTTGCGTTGTGGCCGAAACGTCGTGAGAATTATTTTATTATGTTTTGTTTTTATTATTTTATTACTTCCCTTTTACGTGACTTTACCGAAAGAACCAAGAAGACAAGTGACACAAGTTTTATTCCCGTCCATCTTGCCACTTCCTCAAACTGCACTGACCCGGTCTGTTGAAGTATGGTCAATTAACATCCGTGCCCGAAAGGCATGGGGGGGCGGGGGGGGAGGCCTTGACACGCCAGTGAACGAAGGGCTGTAAATTATCATCATTTTAATTGTATGCGCACACGCACGTACTTACACACGCGCGTACATTTTACACGCGTACTAAAATATCACACGCACAACAACAACGGACATTTGGACCGACACTTCACTTTTCTTGTTTCTACTTCCTCCGCTTCCCGGGCCCACGGGGAGGCGAAGCATTTACAATCCTTGCACGGCCGCTTCGTCCAGTGGCGGGCAATCATTAAACAGAGCCACTCCTGAATATTTTAATCCGCAAGCACGGTGATTAAACGCCATAAATATAGCACGATCACGCCTATGAGGGCAAAAGGAGTTCGGCAAGAAAAATCTGTATATATTAAGCCGTTTCCAGCTGAGCTGTGGGCAAGCAAGCCGTGATTACTGCTGCGTGTTTGCCACTATAAAGCTCACGGTGAAACTACACCAAGTCTTGCCTTTTGAGTTGCCTGGGATGCACGGTTAATCGCTCGGCGGTATTCGGGAGCGCGCCCACTTAGGATGGCATAAATTCAGCGGCAGCGACAGCGGCGGATTACTCCTAACGACAGCTGCCTGAATCTTTAATGCCGGGTCGCCCACACGGAGCCACCACCACAGCGCGCGTAAATAACTTTAACAAATTTTCTTCAGCGAAACAACAACTACAATGGGTCAAATGGACGCGGAAACATAACCGTGAATTTTTGTTCCGCTGAAATTCTGTGGAAGGATCCGCGCGTGCCCAGATGAAACCACCGGACCGAAAGAATTACGATGACCCCTCTCTTCTTGGTTCTTTCGGTAAAGTCACGTAGAAGGGAAATAATAAAAGAATACAAATAAAACATAAAATAATTCTCACGACGTGATGACCTCAACACGTGAAGAGCTGATTGATATAAGATCACCTTTATCATCACCATCATCCACTAATCCCCACGATTCTGCAATGTAATAATCCACCCAGCGCCTGCTCATTAACTGATTTCATCGCTCTATCTCATCGGTGGATGGACTCTCTAACGCTTTCCATTCCTTGGCTGCCAGTGCGTTGTTATTCCTCGCCTTCGACCACTGTCGCCTCGTCATGACGTGTCCTGCCCAAGCCCACTTAACTGTTCTTAGTTTCAACGATTTAAGATGCCAGTTGTTTCATGTACAACTTAACAGGAAGAAACGTAAGAGCTGTGGGGGTATTAGTAGTGCGAATATCATAGCCTCCAACACATTTAAGGCATCAATTTTAGAAAAAAAACTGAAATTGAAGGAAAAGTACACAGTATGCCCGCGGACGCAATCTTCAAAAATGGAAAGCCAAGATTAAGAAACAAACTGGTGACATTGTTCAAACCGTAAGTGCATGTTCCTGTACATCAGTGCACACACAGCACACTAATGGCAGCTACCTTTTCACCTTAAAAGCACCAGGATCAATTCCCTAAGTGGATCTATAGAGAAACACGAAACAAACCATTACACACGTCCTCTCGGCTCATCACGCCGTGCGCAGTAAGAAAGTGAGTCGAGTATTAAAGAACACTGCCATAGTGCTACTTTCACTGCTGGTAGTTAGCTTGTTGTGCACATGATTATCAGCCATGGTCAATCCACTGCTGGATGAAGGCCTCACCGAGCTGCGATGCTACAATGTAATAACATCTGAACACAGGCAGTGCACATCAACATTATCAGCCATGGTCAATCCACTGCTGGATGAAGATCTCACCAAGCCGCCAACATCCTCGCCCCCACTATCCCTCGTGATGCTTCGAAGTAACAAAACCCGAACACAAGCCGATTGAACCGTTCCATCTCCTCGGACGAATTCCATTCCTTGGCTGTCACTCGAGTCACTATTATCGCCCGCTGTCCACGATCCTTTCTATGGCCATGACGTTTCCTGCCGATGGTCCACTGGCAGCTTTTGTCAACAAAAGACACGCCGGGTTGCGTCGTAATCAGGTGTCACCGAGCAACATAACTGCCACGCGAAGAATCAAGACTAAGTTAAATATACACATTTTCGATACATTATATTAAAACTATTAATAAATGTTTATTTTTTTATTCTACCAGATAAGGCCCACTGAGCCATGTAGCTCTTTTTCAGAAGCCACCTGGCCACAAGTGGCTTATCGTGTGGAAGTTTAGAGCAGCCAAATACTCTAAACGCGTGTTTCTGAATGTCGAGAGAAAAACCGGAGGAACCAGAGAAAAATCCACAAGACCACGGGGAGACATGCAAACCGAAAATACAGCAGGCGTCAGGGTCGGAATGGAACTCACGACCTCCTGTACACCAGGCGAGTTAGTTAACATCTCACCACCGTGGCGCATTCACTTTTTCGGGGCCCTTCCAGGTGACAAGATTGTGGCTCCCACTGTGACCTGTGACCCACAGCTTGCTCCATTGCCATGTCACCAATAAGTGCGCTAACCGGGTGGGTTTGCACTCAAGTGGAACAAATTAAGTGGTCATTTCTCTCTCAGAGCCCTTCCTTAATGACAACATGAGGCTCGGCTCCCTATAGGGGTCCCGGAAGATGGCTTCACATCATGTGATGACTTGAACGCGCAGCTGGAATGTACTTAATAGGCACGTAATGATTTATCTCCCACCCCCCCTGCACCAGTGATTAAATGAGTTGTCACAATTTGGAATGGCAAATCAATTCAAAACTGTATTATCTTTTGCCTTGTTTTTACCATTTAATTTATATATTTGTTGGAGCCCTAAGTAAAGCTTTGTTTGCCCCATGTAGCCGAATTATCACATTACCGCATCATTTCATTTACATATATACATTGCACAGCAATCCCTCGCCAAGCGTGGGGGTTAGCAGGTTCCTGGAACAGGCCGTGGTAGGCCAATCCGTGGTTGGTAAAGTACAGGGTCCAATGGGGAACCACGACCGCGGTCGGACTCGTCATAGCTTAATTAAGTTATACTCTTACTCTTAGTTCTTTCGGTAAAGTCACGTAGGTAAAAAATGAAAAAAAAATTTAAGTTGCCCGTTTCTTCACCAAACACGAGTTCAAATACAGCACATTACGCCAACATAATAAAACATGAACGGACGTTAAATTAACTTTAAGTACCTTTGATATCGAGGGTAGGAGTCCACGATTACGAGGATGACGATGACAATGAGATGACTGGGGAAAGGTTTGGTTCGAAGGAGAAGGGGCTCGGCCCACAACAAACAGAAGCAACGTACGCGGTTGCGACGCCGTCCATGCGCTGCGAGTATCACAACAAAACTGACGGACAGCTGATAAGTGAAGCAGCGCCATGGGTAGCCACGGTGGCGCAGAGGAGAACCGCGGCCCCCGCGAAATTTGTAACTGTGGATCGATGCATCCTTGTGGACATGAGCAGTTGTCAATCCACTGAGGACCTTTCCATGCCATTTCAGTCTTGGGGGGTTACTTGGCCATCACCAAGCTGGACAATGCAGGTTTGGTGAATGCGTGGAGCGTAGATGTGGGAGCATGGAAGTGCAGTACAACAACTGCTACCCACTGCATAGTTCCACAAGCTATGTGACAACATGTTCATGCTGGACACTCATCCAGGCACTATCCAGGCCTCAACGCTACTAAAATTCCGAGATCAGACAACATCTAGTGCATCCCAGTTGATTTGGTCATTGGCGATTCGTCCGTTCGCACCTCACATCTCGTCACGTAATGTAAGCTGAAGGACAGAACGTCATGTGAAACGCGGTTGAGCCGCATCTTTATCTACTGCGGCTCGTTGGGCACGGAGCTAGCCGTACAGCACAGCCGTAAATCCACAAGATGATGAGTTAGGCCACCGCGCATCCCCGGGTGGGGGCTCCGTTCACTGCGAAAGCACTTTGTCATGCACGTGCAATTAAACACGATGCCGCAAAGCGTGCGCTGCTCCACGGAGCGAGCAGAAAACAGCGCGGGGAAAGAGAGCGTCTCCCGAGGAAACGGCGGCGGTGGAGCGCGACGGGACGACTCGGAGCGTGCTTGCCAGCGGCCTAATGGACAGCTCGCCGATTAGTCCGCAAACACAAAGAGCGAAAGGTCAAAGGCGCCACCGCGGGGTGGCGGGACGACGGCTGTCGGCGCGCGCCCGAGGACGCGTCCGCTCGAGAGCGCAGGCCAATTAAAATCGCGGGGCACAAAAGCGCGCGCCCGGAGTCGGTTTTGAGTTGCCGCTGACCGGCATGGTTCGCCGCGCCTAAACGCTTTAGAGACGTGGGGACCCAGTGACCAGACTCGATGGATTTTTTTTTTCCTTTCCACACACACCCAAACTCCCCCGCCGTGTTTAATAGAAAGGGAATTTGACAGAGGTGGCCAGGGTGGTTCAAGGGTTATGGCACTGAGGCGGCACTGCTGAGATTCCTGGGATTCAGCCACCCATAATTAAATTGGGTTCTCAAGTGTAGCAAGTTTATGGTCTCAGCCTGGTCACGAAAGATGACACAAAATATCCATCATAGATACATCTCTCTCTGACAAATAACACTGCAGTTGGCTCATTATAGGGATGACATATTGGTTTGAATACCATGTGGCAAACAGGCTTTGCAGGGTATTAAAATGCGTGCTCTAGTATGGTGTAAAAAGTTCTGCAACGCGATAAGAATTTCGAATTTGGGTGAAATTATCACCCGCAGCCACCGGCCGTTATCTGACACAGGGTGATGCACTGCTAGCTGTTCTTCGTCTGATAACACAACAAACAGCACAAGTGATGAGAGCGACGGGGGGGGATCATTAGCGCAATGAAATTGGACGACCGGCTTTTCCTAACCGTCGCCTGTCACCAGTCAAAGTGAACGTCTGAGAAATAATAAAACCACTTACGCAAGGACGCGGCTGCACTTTCAGCCGTCAGTCAACTTGTCGTGGTTATGGTTTCCTCAGGGGGGGGTGAGAGGGGTGCAAAGTGAACGCTCGTTGGTCTGGAGACTCAAACGAAGGCAGATTTTTTTGAACACCGACTTGGAGTCATCCGGATGCCCCACAGGGCCCCGTCGTCGGGATAAGCCTGCCGCAAATTAATTCGGCCACGTGTGAGTGAATGCCCTCGGGGGGGGGGGGGGGTGTGGGGGTTTCGTTAACATTAACTGGATAATGAGCTGATGCTAGACAGTTAAAGGCCATGTTGGGTTTTATTTATACAAATTTTAAGCAGTTGAAAAGGTTATTACGGCTCAATTTTATTCAGAACTCGTGACACCTGGCCACACATACAAGGGCTTCTTTGGGCCATTATAAAATCCGTAAAAGCGCTTAGTTATTAAATACGTAAAAGCGCTTTGTTGTAAAAGAAAATAGTAATCCGAGTACTTTACATTTATAAAATTCTCAACAAATGTATTTAATAAGTAAATAAAAATCGCAAGTGCGAAAGCAACGTGGAACAACTATTTTTAATTTTCACCACCAACTATATATGTTTTGAATGTTAAAACAATAAAATAAAAAATTGCATCAACTTCCGCTTTTATTACTGCTTCTAAAAATAACCCTCATTAAACGGCCTCCACAACGGAATACAATGCGGTTACGTTGAAACTAAGCATGCCGATAACATTAAAACGTGCGCCTTTGTGAACTTGCACCATCGACCGTGACACAGTCGAGATCACGCGCCACGAAAACCATTGCGCAAAATGTCCAAAAAAAAGATTAGGTAATTTATGAACGAAGCCAATGAATTACATTGCAGCATAATGGATTAACAGAACCCCGAAAAGCCAATTTCATTAAAAGGCTTGGATGAGTGCGCTGTGGATTAAAAAAAAAAGGACACAGACACACCCATCAAAATGTGACATGCTTTTGAGACATTGCAGAGTGAGAGATTGTTGTCTGGACAAGAGGCAGTGACGCAGAACACCCGTTTGACGGATCTGCAAGGGACCCGTAACTTTTCTTTATCCAATTAATGCATTGGGGCACGTGAAGGATGCCCAAACGGCGCCCGTCTGTGCAGACTGTCCCCAGCAAAAGAGGCTGTGAGAGAGAAGGGGACGGTGAGGGGAGTGGGGGGTCACGGACCAGTGGCCATGTGGTGCGACACACGCGGACTCAGCAGCGGCAGTGGCAGCAGGGCGACACGTTTAATTAAATGTACACGGGCAGGGAGGCCAGGTTTTGCGTGAAAGCGGCCAAAGTTTGACACATGTCCCTGCATGGCCCACAACCCCACAGAGGCCGGCGCAAAGCAGATTACTGGGGAGGGAGTGCCTGAATTTGAAATCGAGGGCCAATTTAATTCGCTCGCATTAGCGGTAGCGCCGCCATGTCCAAGGCATTATCGACATCCAAGATAAGGTTACGTCAACAAACCTTCGTCTTGCGACCGCCAGACCAGATTGCAATTAGTCTGTTACGCGGCATATTACGATAACATGTCATCAAAATAAAAAGTGTGTGTGTGCGTGCGTGCGCCAGTTACGCGTTATCCACATATTTGTATTAAATGTAGGTGCGGAATTATTCACCGTGCTGCTGATTACGCGATTCTGACCCGATTCGAGTCAAGAATCTATTTCAAATGTTGCGGTGAATATAATGGCCTCTAGTAGCCGGACGGGTCCCGTGAACCCATCGCGTAAAACATACAAGGAGCTGAAAAAACGGAGCGGCGAATATGGTCCAGTGAAAGTGAGGCTGAATTCGGCAGGCCGCCCTGGTTGATGACGCAGCAGTACATTAACCATAAAGTTTGCGCCGCCTGCTTCATCGTGAGCATTAGAGATCCCCTGACATCAGTGGAAACGAGTCGGCTACCTCCGATATAGCGCGGTTGGGCTAAGTACGGTGCGAAAGACGTTCGACATACATGCTGCAAACTGGCCTTACCTGAAAATTACTCAAATGTGATTAAACAAGAAGCAATCGTCGTCCCCTACCGGCAGTCTAATGTCCACTTGCAGGCCATTTCTGAGTCGTATGGTGCCACACAGGGGCCAGCTGCCACTGCGGGGGGGGGGGGGGGGGTGCCCTTCGGACAATTGAAATGAGGAAATGAGATGTGATCAGTGGAGCACTGAGTTGCCGAGGCGCTAACGCTGAACCGCAAACGGCACACGAACGAAACTACCCTCGCGGAGAGAACGTCGTGGGATCTTCCAACGTCCGCAGAGCGGGAGGAGGAGACGGGCGAAAGGTTAATCACTGTCGGGAGCGCGAAGGAGAGCCAGGCTCCGCTCCCGTAAAGCCGTCCGGGGGGAGAGCGAGGCAAGGATTCGTGCCAGCAACCCCGTCAAAATGAATGAATCGATGCGAAATCGCGCCTCGGGCGAAGTGGCCGAGTGGCGCGGGGCGGAGGGGGGGGAGACTCGATGGCCTCGTGCGTCGTACCGACGGGCATGCCGGCACCTGCGGGGGAGCTCTGGCTGGGCGCCGGCGAAGTTTGGACGCGCCTCCTCCGCGTTGGCGCGGCGGCGCTGCCTTGTGCGGCTATTCGGATGGCAGCAGCTGGGCTAAGGATAATGGCGCTGGCCAATAGACACGCCGTCCCACCTCGTTAAATTCATGCACTGCTCTCAATTAGAAGGGCGTCAAAAGGTCAAGGCTTTTTAGACTAAGGTCGGGTGCTGAAAACACAATCACTAAGATATTTTCCCCCAAACATCAGATTAATAATCATGGATGATCCACTCCTAGATTGGAAGGACTTTCCCAAACCGTTTACCAATACCAGTGGCCTGATCTGTAGAATTTGTGAGCAAGATTGGCATTATTTTCCGCGCATATTGGTGATGAGCATCCACCGAACGCACACACCCGTTTATTTGAGTATTGCCATGTTTCCTTGAAGCCGATTATTTGTAAAGTCGAACCGCTCCTCAAAAAAAAAAAAACAGGCGCTTTTTCATGGGATCTTTGTATATACCGCCACGGCGCAGCGGTCAGCACACTGGACTTGCAGGCCAGTGGTCACCGCAATTAGTCGATTGGCAGGTCGTGTGCGGTGGGCTAAAGTGTGGGCTCCCCAACCTCTTCCAAGACGTCCACCCAGGAGGGAAGAGTAAACCAAACACCTTCTAGAGCTCCCTCTTCGTGGAGGCTCCCATTCGCCAGCAATGAAGCGAGGAAGTGATTACAGGGCCGCGCCTTTAATGGGTCAGGCGTGGCCGTTAGACTTTCCTTTCGAAAAGTCGGCTTACCATCGGTGCACTGTCAATGGCGTTCAGGTACTGGTGGTAGCTGGTCCACGGGCCGAAGATGATGGTTCCCACGAAGTAGATGTAGCCCATGAACTGCAGCGGAGAAGGCAGGCCTGGGACCAGCCCTCGGTCCATGTCGAAGCCCAGCGAGATGGCCTTCATCGCCACGATCATCTGCGCTCCTGCGGAAACCGCGCGAGCAATGCATCGTTAATTCAAAACGGGCGCATGTGTATTGTCATCTCTTGGAGGGGGGTGATGCGGTGGCGAGATGTTAACTACCTCGCCGGGTATACAGGAGGTTGTGGGTTCAATCCCGACTCTGATGCCTGTATATTTGGAGTTTGCATGTTCTCCCTCATGGTCGTGTGGATTTTTCCCAGGTCCTCTGGTTTTTCCCTCCACATTTAGAATCATGCGTTTAGATTATTTGGTTGCTGTAGATTTCCGCATGTTAAGCCACTTCGTTGAGCTATCATTTGTGGCTAAGTCACTTCTGAAAAAGAGCTACATAGCTCAGTGGGCCTTACCTGGTAAAATAAGAGAGTTTTAGTTTATGAACAATACATTGTCCCTCTCAATGTAAAATGTTTCCTCAGTCCATCAGCCTATTGGCCGAATGGACAAAAACAGAATACTCGGACTGGGTTTGGAAACCTTTGAAGCTCATCAGCAGAGTCGTGCCTTTAAACAAACGGCATTTTGTCGACAGAAATAGTATCATTGCCAAGAGACATCCGCTTAATCTGCGTGTGTTGGATGCTTAACTGAGCTACTGTCTGGTGCAGCGATAGTCTGTGAACGACTCAGAGGAGAATGTGTCGTGTCTCCGATATCAAGAGGGTGCTTGGGCAGTCGTGCGCACCCAAAAGTTCAGTTTTCTCGATCCCAACGGGCTTTTTTTTCTCACGTACGAGAAGCTTTAACCTCATATCGCACAACTAGGGTTACCCAACCTGGGTGTGTAATTTAAAAATAACACCTATCAGACATTTTCAGTTGCGTCTTCCTGCGAGTAATGCGTACGTGCAAGTTCTCAACGTGGGGTACGGTGGTGCAGTGGTTAACGGAGCCCAGCAACCTGTTTTTTAAACCCCTGCCGATTGTTAATATTGGCGGAAAGCGAAATTCTAAACCAGCCTGGAGCCCTCCCCTAGGTTTATTCAGCCTTAAATGAATACCTGGTGTGGTATGTAAACATCAGCCATGGAGAGCTAAAGGGAGCTGAGTGTGTTGCTGATCACAGCACCCCTTTGTACACTACAGTAGCTCTCAATAGATGCTCGCTAACAGCACTTGCCCTAACAGTCTATAGAAGGCCACCGTGAAAATGTTTATCTTCTTTGAATGTTACAAGACGTCTGTTCCTGCCGCTTGTGATGCAGTATGGTCAAAACGGTTGTCCAAAATAATAATAACTGGTTTTGGTCTCACCGATTTGTTTTCAGGCTGCACCGTGTGTTGTTCGGCACGATGTCCGATGTTTCGCACCACGCCCAATGAGCTTCTTCGAGAACCACATTATACAATGAACACACCGGCCCACAGCGCAACCAATATAAAAAATAATAAAACATAAATGCAACAGTAACGAGCAAATTTATTTTATAGCATCTCGAAGCTGATGGAAACATTTATTTATTAATCTATTGATTTATTTTTTTCCCCACAAACACGCTCCTGGGGAAAGTTGCAGGAAGGTTGAGCTGACCACCGAACCGCTATGTGGAGGTGCTGAATCGAAGGCGTGCCTTTGATTAATGGCACGGGAAGGCATTTTAAGCAATCGGTGCAAAAATTTTAAGAACCCCCGATGCCTGCCGTAATTGGGAGGCAGGGCATTGTTAAGAAAAGAGTGATAAATATGCCACGCACGGACCTAGAATAAACTCCAATCAATTTGTTTCAGCAGCTGCAGGCAAAGAAAAATGAACTGTGTGGTCGAGAGGGGCAGGGCAGCATCCCGTGATGCATCGGTCCACGCAGCACGATACACATTTTTCGTAATTTATCCCAATAACACCCAGAATATATTCCGCTCAGGATGGACAGTTAATTCTCGATTGTCCGTGGGCGGATTATCCAGGTTGTCGATTAAACCATGCTGGTTCACATGGTCCAGTGACTTCAAAACTAAACTAAACTATTTTTGATTTAAAGCTTTCGTGACTGCAGAGATTCATATTCTTGGTTCTTTCGGTAAAGTCACGTAGAAGGGAAATAATAAAATAGTATTATTTCCCTTCTAACGTGACTTTACCGAAAGAACCAAGAATATAAAGCATTTTTATTTTACCAGGTAAGGCTCACTGAGCTATGTAGCTCTTTTTCAGAAGCGACCTGGCCACAAATGATCGCTGAACGAAGTGGCTCATCACGTGGTAATGCATAGCAGCCAAATACTCTAAACGCATGATTCTAAATGTGAAGGGAAAAATCAGGTGACGCGGACAGAAAAATCCACGTGACTACAGAAAGAGAGAACATGCAAACTCCAAATACACAGCAGGCGTCGGGGTTGGGATCAAATCCACAACCTCCTGCATACCAGGCGAGGGAGTTGACATCTCGTTACCGCAACGAAGCCAGGGTTTCCCAAACTCCAGTTCTCGCAACTCCCCCGCCACCACCACCACCACCACCGCCGCCACCGCCGCCACCACCACCACCACCACCACCGCCGCCGCCACCACCACCACCACCGCCGCCGCCACCACCGCCGCCGCCGCCACCACCACCACCACCACCACCGCCACCACCGCCGCCACCACCGCCACCACCACCACCACCGCCGCCGCCGCCGCCACCGCCGCCGCCACCACCACCACCACCGCCGCCGCCACCACCGCCGCCGCCGCCGCCACCGCCGCCACCACCACCACCGCCGCCACCACCACCACCACCGCCACCACCACCGCCACCGCCACCACCACGCTACGTCTTACCCATTTACTCCTCCCATTCAAATACAAGTTACCTCGTGCCACGCTGCTGCACGCGCCTGATGCTTAATAAACACGACCCATGCGCCGTGCTCAGCAATTAATGCCGTCTTGCGTTAATAGAGCCGATTCAATATGAATTAACGCCGTGCGTACACGTGTTCCACGCGAGGGCGTGTGCACATGTGCGCGTGTGCGCGTGTGCGCATGCATGTGTGCATGCGTGTCCCGCGTGACACAGCGTTGATTGCTGCGTCACGTGGGACGAGTTTAACGCTCGTCGGGCGAGTGCAGCGTGGAACGAGTCGATTGATACACGTGGAGAGACGCAGCGTGGTGGAGGTCGGCGAGGAGGACTGGAGTTTGGGTAACTCCGTGCTAAGCGCTAATGTGACTGCACGTCGTCGGCAAAGTAAACCGATTACCTAAACAAAAACTGATGACACACTCTATGCCTTCAACTCCGTTCTATGTTAAGTAAAAAAAATAATGTTTCATGGAAAAATTTGCATGTGCTTCACGTTATCCGTGGGTTTGCTTTACGTGGCCACCGCTTCCCCACAATGCCCCAGATAATCAAGAGTTGACGACATAAGGAAAGCCGAGAAGCTTCGAGAAGTGAGATATTTAGCGGGGGCAGAAGGCTGCCACTCTTTGTTATACTATTTCAACGCAGTGCTCTGTAATGCAGCGGGGGTCCTTAATACCCAATGAGTTCATTAACAAGGGGTGCTTGAAACATGCCGTGCAAATTAAAAAGGATATCGTGGTTTAACCAAACATACCCTTTGCTTACAAATAACATCTCTCTCACCGGTGTAATTAGGACGCGTGCTCAAAATTCATGAGCTGAACACAACGCTTAATTAAATGATGGAACGACAGCTTGGCGTAAATGCGCGGTCCGCACGCGCGTGAACGTCGCTACATACGAAACGCAAGTTAAGTGTGAGAAGAAGCAGCCGTTAATTACAATGGTGTCGCCCGGCATAGACAATCAAGAGTTTGGATAGATTGCCATGTAGTTTATAGTCAAATAAATGGCAGCATTACTATTAATGTCACGCGCACGAGGTTCGGGGAAGGATTCGTGCTTGTCAAGGTGCAAGTGACATCGGCTATTATCTGCCGGTGTTTGCTTGTGCTGACCATGAGCGTTTGTAATCACGATACGGTCGTCGGCACTGACTGTGAGTCTAACGACTGAATATATGCTTGTGCTGACTTTGAATGTACCGACTATCGCATTAAAATAATGATAATATCAATCAACCAATCTCGGCCCGCTTTTCCCGAACTGAATCAGGTCGCGGTGAGAAGCGAACTCCACCAAGGCCTTCCATTCCGCCCTGTCCTCCTCCGCCAGCGGCATCAACTGTGCCTCCCGGATCGCCAGTCTTTCCACGGCCAAGAGCACCACCTGGTCTTTCCAGCGCAATCGCGGGCAGCCTCTGGGTAATAATAAAAACATAATTTCTGACGCGCATGTATATTTCGCGAATCGGACGTATCGTTCGCTGTGGGTGTCTGTACTGACGATATGGTTGTCTGTGCTGTCTCCTGGGTATTTGTCCTGGCTGTATGACGTTCAGCTGTGTCTGTAACTGCCTGGAGGATTGACTGCGTTCAATGTGAGTGGGAGTCTGACTACAATTGTACTGCAGGTGCTTTGTACTGCCTGTAAGAGAGTACCGACTGAGTGTCTGCGCTGACTGTGGGTATCGACTGTATGGGTGGGTGCTGATTCTGTCAGTGTCTCTGCCAACTCGAGTTGCATTCAACGTCAGGCACAACCGATAATACGTCAACTGAGGCCGTGTGTCTCATCACGTGATGTGGTAGTCTTAACATTTGAACTTGTAAAACATCGCTGAGTGCCGTCCTCCTCTTTCCAGAGGGTTGGCGGTGTGTGGCACCTCTGTTGCACCGCACCCATTTCTGTTCTCCGCCAGTCCCGCTGCATTGTCAATCTGCATCCCTGTGCATTTGCCTACAGTGATCTGTCCATCACCTCCCTGCCCGAGCATGGGATCTCTGACCAGATGTACATCCTTGTGTTATGGCCATTTTTATTGGCAACCTACATCCTACGTAATTCATGTAGGTTGGGGCGCGCCATGGCGGCGAGGTGTTAACTACCTCGCTTGGTATGCAGTTCACAGGTTCGATCCTGACCCTGGCACCTGTATATTTGGAGTTTGCGTGTTCTCCCTGTGGTCGCGTGGATATTTCTCTGGGTT